GTACCGGGCTTGTAGGGAAGAACAAGCCCCATAATTCCAGAGGCCCCCAGCAGATCAGGTAGCCAGGTAGGGCAGTCGGTCAACCCAGCCCAAGCCCCACTGCCTGACCTGAGTTCAAGATGCCAACCTCCGAGCCTGAATCCATAGCGAGGGCAGTCCCTTGATGCCCCTGAAGCGATCAGGGTGCAGTCATCATTGATAGGTTCCTGACTGAATTGCTGCGCAGCTCCTTAAAGATCGAATGGGGGCCAGGCCCTTCTCGCTGCCCTATGCCGTGGTGCGCGAGCATGGCTGGGCAGAGGGCGGGGCTGCGGTAAAGCTGCGCCAGCCTCAGCCTCTCTCTCTCTGTCTCTCCCACTCTCTCCTGCATTCGAGTTCGGTCGGGGAGTCGAATTGGCTCTTCAGGATTGTAGTTCGGGAGGGCTGGAGGGGAGAGGGTTAGAGTTCGGGTTGAATGTGTTTTGGGCTTGGGCGGGCTTCTGGAATGGCATGGGCGGGGGGGGGGGGATAATGATAAGAGCGCAGGGATCTCGACTTTGTGGCGAAGTGTCTTGTTTCAGCTGCCGACTTCCAGGTTTCTTTTCGTATTGGGGGGCGTGGGGGCTGCTGATGCCCTGAGACCCAGCAGAGTCCGCATTTAGGGCTTTTTAACGTTAAGAAGGCCCTAAATGCCCAATGTACTCAGTGATTCTTCGCTGCATGTCTGTGGTGAGACTTGCATCGGGAGTGCGCGGGAGCCAGGGTCTAACGTAGAATGCCACATCCTGGCCCCGCACTCTAGAGATTCTACGTTCGATGTTCTAAGATAGCGGCTCTAGACTGACATCCCGTCATTCTACTCTGATAGTCCCCCTGGTTCTTAGTAGGGAATGAGGGAATGAGGGCCCTGTATATACCCTTTAAGGGATGAATATAGGGCCCTCATTCCCTCATTCCCTACTTGTACTAAGAACCTGCCAGTAGTGTTAGCCCTATCGCCTTGCCAAGCCCCAGAATATCTCGATTCCAGTCGATCCTCTCCGCGCGCGTTGAAGTTCAGGCACGGCGTCACTTGGTTCGCGGATGCCGACCTTGACCTGTCCTTGATTTTCGCAACTTGCCGGCACAGCCTCGGCGTGTGCATTTTCCTGGGATCCCACAAGCCGTTTTGCGGGTTCTCGAATACAGTCTTGTTACGATGCAGTCTTGTTCGTGATGTTTTTGTAGAACCAGAAGCGTATGTCGAGGTTTGGGCACATCTTGCAGAGTTGCCGCCTTGGGTGTTCGTCGTTGTGGTTCACTACTCTGAAACTCAAGCACTTGCCACTGCACAAGGTGTTCAGCGACCGCAACATCGAAAGCCACTGCCAGCGAGTGTCCAACAAGATTGCGGAGTGTACCTCCAGGGCAGTAGTCCCGGAAGCTCCGGGTTTGGAGTTCACAAGGTTTCGGCAGCTCTGAATCCTGATGTTCCTTCTACAGAACCTGCTGTGTTCCCTGGGCTTTCACCATATTACTGCACTTCGATAGGATGTATAGGGCAAACTTTGTACCACAGCAGCCCGGGCACTAGTGCCGTGTTCAGTCGTCATACAAGTCGAGTCTCATAAATGACTCTGATCCTCAGTTTAGGGTTTAGGGTTTAGGGTTGAAATTTTAGTCACCTGAAGCAATCCGACTAGAGTACAAACGTGAAACAGTGTCTCCGTGAGAAGTCGCTTTGCAGTTTCCGAGCAAGTGTTGAATGGCCCAGAAAAATGTGGAGCCCCTTACCCAGAGGGTCCATTTGTAGTACTATTATGGAATTAGGTACCCCAAAGCCCTATTTAGTATGGTTTTTGGGTACTTAATTCCATAATAGTAATACAAATGGACCCTCTGGGTTAGATCGTTCAAGTATGCCACTTGATGTGACATCATGAGCTCACCGGATTGCACGCGTGCGCACACATTACTGTTATAAGCTGAGCTCTGAGAATGACATTGAGCCTGTTTGTGCGGCCCCACACCTCACACTGCAAAGTTTCTGGGCACTGGATCCGAAACCCTACCTATCAAACCCTAAACCAATTGCAACTGCAAGGTATCGTGCCAACTCCCGCAACTTCGGGGGCATCAACAGCCCCTTGGGGCAAAATGAGGGAAAACTGGTTGAGGGGTCTTGGCACTCGCATCTACTGGCTTCGAATTGTTCGTGGCTAGTTGCAAGTAGGCATGTGTAGCTTGATCAGGGTTCACATGTGGCGTTGTGCGTTCTAACTACACTTCTTACCGGTTCAACTTAAATTAAAGGTTCCATTTCTTCAACTGGATGTTCCCTATACAAGACAAGGGATTAGGCGTCTCTGAGTGGTCCGGTCTGGCTAAATATTTTGTTTAACAAAACTCTTTCACTTAAAGCCGCAATACTTTCCCCTCAGCGGGATTCTTGTCCAGGCCGAATACAGTTTCCAGAGCGCGTGCTTTTCATTCCTACATGGTTGTCACAGAAACTACCTCCCCCCCCCCCCCCACCCATGCCAGTTGCATCGGCCCCAATGTCGTGAGCCATATAGGCCCGCAACCCTTATACCCTCGAAGCCCTGATGCTCCAAGTTCACCTTGAGCCGTGCAAACCCAAGTTCTACCACAAGCTTGGGCCCTAAACCCTAAACCCTTAGCCTAAGCCTAAACCCTAGACCCTAAATCCTAAACCCTAAGCCCTAACCTAAACCCTGAACACGGCGAGGTGCCACTGAAGTTGATGTCGACGCACAGTGGGGAAACGGCCACCTATGATCTGCCGGGTCTCAGCTACAACTTTGTGGCTTCACGGCTGACAAGCTCTTAGTGGTAGAGTAGGTACCCTTGGACCTTTTTGCGGTAATAGAATCCCCTTACAATCCCAAAGGTTAACCTTTAGGTCCCCTAGGTACTGGACAGCTACTACTTGCTTAAGAACCCCAAAACATATGTAAGCAACACTAATAATCCCTATATTGCCCTTATGACCTATGAGGAAGAGTATTTGTTTTTGTTTGGGGGGGGGGGGGGTTCTTCATACAGTAAACAGTAGATAAGGCTCCATGGGGACTTCAGGGCGAGTCCTCTTTGCAACTGATGGCCACGAGACATAACTGTGGCTAGATGGCACCCTGGGCTTCATGTCGCATTGGTGGCATCCAAAAAAACTCTCGTGCTTGGGTCTGCACAAGGAGGGGCTTACCGCTCAAAGAATGTATATGGTCCCTCCTCTACATCAACCCTAAACCCTGAACCCTAAACCCTAAACCCTAAACCCTGCATGGACTTTTGAGGACCCTACAAATATGTGTGGGGACCATACTTGGGAGACCTGACCAATGGGGCCATAGATGCGTTGGGTCGACAAAAGCTCGAACCCTGAACCCTGAACCCTAAACCCTAATCCCTGAACCCAAACCCAAAACCCCAAAGTCAAGGCTGTGCCCACTATCGAAGTGGCCAACCCCAATCGCGCGACACTGGAGGGTGGCACATGGATCGAGGTGACGGGAGGCCTTGCGGGAGCCACTGCTGTACCCCAACGCTATGTCAGGTAAAGTGGGTTGTTGATTACCCTTTTTGGAGTTTCAGAGGCTCTTGTTCGCAAATGTGTGTCAGAAAGCTCATGGGGCCAGTATATATCCATACGACGGTGAGCAGTGTGAGGCGTCAGGGTGACACATGGTTTCGTGAGCCTTGTTCCCTTCGAAGATAAGATCGGCAATAGCTGCCGGAAGTTCAACCCGGACTACAAGGCCCCTGAGAAAACGAAGGCCCTACCTTGCCTGCCATGCGCAAGTGTGAGTCAAATCCCCTGCAGGGCCTTTCGATGCCCGCGTGGAGTATTGGTGCCTATTCCTGCCGTTCCTGGGACCCAAGAGCAGGAGTGACATTGGTCAAGCTGACTTAGGGACTGGGTATACGTAACCTTTAACCTTTTTGGTTATGTAGAATCCTAGTAAATGTAAAAGGTGAACCTTTTCGGGGCTAGGGTATTCGAACCACTCCCATGAAGTCAATGAAGCCCTGTAGACTCTACACAAAACATCGCAAACCCAAGGCGCAGCCCCTCCTGGTATGGACCCTAAGCCCTAAACCCCACACTTCTGATCCTCAACCTCAAGCTGGAAGACCCACAGCCCTTGGCCAAGACCCCCCCCAAAAAATACCTTGCAAGGTACCCGGAGGAATTTATAGTGTAATCCCAGGGTACGTCCTGTGGAAAAGACGGGGTGTGCGACGCTGTCTCGCCCAGACCTTTGTCGGGAGTGGTCCAAGACCTGCCAGCTTTGAGCCGCGGGCCTGGAAGGCAAGTGACAGCCATGGGCAGCTTGATGGCTGCAGGGTTGTTTTGGAGACTTTTGGGGTGGAAGGTGCAAAGTTCATCAGGTCTTGGGAGTTGGCTTATGATGCGGGCTTCATGGGTTCTCAGAATGTGACGGCTTAGAAGGTCCAAATTCTTACCCAGCAGGGACAAGGTGCAGGGGGAACTGCAGATCAACAAATGGTCCAGTGAAACCCTAAACCCTAAACCCTAAACCCTAAACCCTAAACCCTAGACCCTTAAAAGTTAGACAGGGCTTCAGAGTGCCCAACCTGTCTCGAGCCTTCGGCCCGACATGCGTGCAGGGGTTCCCCAGACCCCCCCCCCCCCCCCGCAACTCTTCAGCGGTTCCGGGCTTGAAGGGTTTACGGTTGAACCTCCGTAAGTCTACACCACCGAATATCAGGGTTTTAGGTGTGTAGGGAGTTCAGAGCCTCGGCATCTCGAGCCGAACAGCATGGTTGAGACATCGATAATCATGCTGAAAGAAGGACGCACGTTTCTGAAGACAGACAGGCACTGGCGTCTATCGTAAACCGTGATGCTTAGGAGAACAGCGCGCTGACTCCTTCGACACGGCATGCCTCAAGCGTACTATTTCATCGGATCCGGCGTACAGTGCCATCCAGTTGTAATTATTCCGACCTTTCGGGTAGTTTGTGCCCGCCCCCCCCCCACCCCATCTGCACCCCCCATGATCATGATGATGGTGATGAAGATGTACATAAAGATGAAGATGATGAAGTTTGATGATGATGATGATGCTGCTGCTGGTGAACACGAGATCGTCATAAATAAGACGCAAACTGTGAGCGGGCAGGTATCTGAACTTCACCACCATCCTCTGCGAGTCTCCATGGCAGCTGCTGCCAAAAACTTGTGCCCTGGTGCACAGAGTTTCAGGGTTCAGAGGCCCATAGTTTAGAGTACAGGTCGAGTTTCGGTTCCAGGGTTCACGGCGTCACCGAACCCGAAAACGACACAAAAGTCCAAGAAGACTCAGAAGCCCGCACGCCCCCAGACTGTTCGAGTCCGGAGACAGCCCCCCAAACCCTAAAGCCTAAACCCTAAACTCTCTTTGCAGGTACGCTTACTCTGACGTCTGACAGTGTCATGACGAATCTGGGGATCGGCCACGTTGCCTTCGAGCCCTTCGTCCACCAAGATCTCAGTTGTTTTTTTAAGTGAGATGTAAACCCCAAAACTCCAAATCCCCAAAACCCTTTTTCCAAGCTTTGCCTCCGAGCATCCTTCGAATTTATAGGGTTTTTAATGGGGTTTGACAGGGTTTTATAGTGCTCTATGGGGGTTTTAATCGGGGTTTTTAGGTTTTTGTAAGGGTTGTACAGGGTATTCTAGGGTTTATATACCCACACCTGTAACCCTAGGGAGGTGAATAATTCTGCTCCAGTGCTGAGCCGGGCAGCAAATTCGGGTCTTTTTTTTTTTGGGGGGGGGGGGGGGGGGGGGGGGGGGGGGGGGGGGGGGGGGTGTCCGATATAGGGGACCGAAAATAAGGGACCCTACTTTAGAGAACTACTCATGCGAGTTCTGAGTTTGACAACTTGTACGTATATCCCAAGTGAGTTAGGGGACCTAGGGTGCTTATAAGTATGGCTAGAATTGGGGTTATATTTAATATATGCGCCTTGAGAGCGTGGATTTGATCCGGCAGGTTCTATACCTACGAAGTGGTCCAGGAAGAGGCCGGCTGGGACAAACTCTGACATGGGGGGCGGGGGGTGGGATTACGATAATCAGGGAACCGTGCAAAAAGATCTCAGAAAAAGGGCCTCGAAGACACACCCCCCCCCCCCTCCACAATCTCGGAACCCTTCGCCCCCCCTGACTTGGCAACAGGACGCAGAATACAACGCCTCGGAAGTCATAGCAGCTGCAGAGAATGAATGGCGCCATGGCGGCAGCAGTTGCTGCTGAAGGTCTTGGCACGCACTCTTTGAAGTACGCACAACCACTCACACCGCCAGAACCTGAATCCTTAAGAGAAGTTCCTCCGGAGAAAGTTGGTCTTAGCATTCGACTGCAGTGTGTATGCTATAATTCTTGTTATCATCTTCCTGGAATTGTGATCACGATGAAATACTCGGATTACAGATCGAATGCGTGAGAATGTTTAAGTTTACGGTGATTCTGACGGCTCTGGTGATTATGATGGTTCTTACTACTGTCACGATACCATTATTGCTTCCGTACTTGGCGATTTGTTTAGTAGCCCTAAAGGTCCATGCAGCTAGATAGGGAATACTTGGGCCTTAAGTATTTCCCATATAAGTACTTTGGGGCCCGGCTCTGTCTTCTAGAGCCTCTGCCCCATGCCCAGGAGACTGACGATGATGAGCCCGCTGGAGGCACTCCTATTCCAAACCCAGCACTCCTGAAATCCCTAAACCGTATAAACCCTTCCATGCTACCCTCCTGAAAGTTTCAGATTCCGGAAATAAACTTGAGACGCAGAAGACAAGGGCAGTGTGGCTGATTCGAGCTGGGTTGCGAATTCTGGTCCACCGAAGCCTAACGTGTCGCTAGGGAGAGAGTCGCAACTGTGAGACCTCATAGATAAGAGCCAACGTGACATCCCGACGCTTTGTTTCCCAAGCACGCTCACAAGCCCGCCATTCCAAAAACCCTAAACCCTAAACCCTAAACCCTAAACCCTAAACCCTAAACCCTAAACCCTAAACCCTAAACCCTAAGCTGTAAACCAAATGGCAATGCCCTGCTGCCCACCAGGCCGATGAGTTCAAGCCAAGGCGCATGATTCCTTAGGGGCTTGGGGCAGGGATCAGCCTTTCTAGGGCTTAGGGGGTTTATAGATGGCCTGGGGATTTAAACCCTAAACCCTAAACCCTAAACCCTAAGTGCCGATTCTGATGGGGTCGGTCAAGCTGGAGGTGGGTGATCTTTTGGGAGCACGAGGAGGTGGTTTCTAATACCCAGAGACCCCCAGCCTCTGGGGGCCTGAAAGGATGCTTATAGGGTTTAGGGTTTAGGGTTTAGGGCTTAGGGCTTAGGGTTTAGGGTCCTTGATGATGGCCCTCCCAGCTTGTGAGACTTGAAGTTCAAGTGATGACTTTGGGGTTTGGGGCAAAGCCCATCAAACCCCGAAGTCGTGACCACGGTGTTGCCGCAGTTCTCAACTCACGCTAGGAGCCTTGGTTTAGGGTTTAGGGTTTAGGGTTTAGGGTTTAGGGTTAGGGTGAGAGTGAGGAAGCCATGGGGCCTGTCCTTTTTGTTGTGTTTTGTTGGGGTGTAAGGCTCCAGAGTACCATTGGAACACACAAGAAGGACCATCATTGGGGCGAAGCGATGCTTGGTGAATGGTATGCATCCCATACGAAGCATGGGCTAAAAGAAGTCGTGATACACGGTATTTCTTGCCAACATGTGCCAAATTCCCCATATTGAGGCCTCGAGCCTCCTACGATTACTATCTGATGTGACCACTTCTCCGCCCGAAAACCTAACCCCAAAAACCCGTGTGGGTGTTCAAGGGCTTAGGGTTTTGGGTCTGGGGTCCCAAAACGTCCCCAAAGCGTTCCCCTCTCGAGAGCCTGCAGGCAGCCAGCAGAGGCTCCACCTGTGCCTCGTCTGAGGACTTCTTCTGTGTCATGATTAGGGTTTAGGGTTCAGGGTGTGGGGTTTAGGGCCGTTTAGGGTTTAGGGTAGAGGGTCCTGGTAATTAGAAAAATATGTGCAGCTGAGGTGGTGCCGATTGTTCCCGAGCCAGTGCCAGTGTTCCCTGCCAATAACACAGCGCTGGCAATACCGTCTTCGACATCGTTCATGCACCTTGGGCTTTGCGTATTCCTTGGGAGCATCGGGGGGGGGGGGGGGGGGGGGGGGACCTCGAAATTGGGCATGTGAGGAGCAAAGGGGTCATGGCACTGCCAATGCGCTCGAACTGCCAGTGCCCCCCAAATGTTTAGGGTTTCGGGCGGTGGCCGAGTTAAGCCTCCGACCTGCCGCCCATCGCACCCACCCACATCCCTGAGAATCACAGGTGATAGAAGAAGCACAACAGAGGCTAGGATTTAGGGCTTAGGGTTTAGGGTTTAGGGTTTGCTAACCAGCAACTCATATCAAGCAACAACCCTAAACTGAAGACACTGCACTCTGGCGCATCTCACCGTTCCCAGATCGCCCGCCTTCAACATCACGACCTACCAGCCAGGAGTTCGAATCGTTGCTGCAACCATGACTCTTTAGGGTTTAGGATTTCGGGTTTAGGGTTTTGGGTTTTGGGTTTTGGGACCCTTACTAAGCCCTATCTGGGTCGAGATGGTCAGTGTTCTGAGTCGTCGTCTCTGTTTATGCTTGATACCCTAAATATCAGGGGCGGCACTTAACAAAGGGAAGTGCTTTAGGGTGTACTTAGAGGAGGTTCATCGGTACTTAGAACCCCAGTTATAGCTGCCCTGATGCGCCCCCTAAGCCCCCTAAGGAGGTCATAAGTAGACTAAGTAGACTTATAATTGGGGTTAACTAAACCCTAAACCCTAAACCCTCTGAGTACCCATGAACCCCCTAAACGACCCTTGCACTTTTCGGGTTTGGACCAGCGAGGCCGGGTTTAGGGTTTAGGGTTTGCGCTTTAGGGTTTAGGGCTTAGGGTTGTTTAAAGGTTCAGGGTTTTGGGAATTCGGGGGTTGACCTGGCAGAAGTCCCAGCAAGCTTCTCCCAGTCTGGGTTCAAACCAAGCTGGCCAAGGAATACTGCACATTGCCCCCCGGTCGTTCCTGCCGTACCACGACTCGATCTCTGGGCAGCCACATATCCTCCACTTGACAGTGCGAGGCCGCATGCGGCCCTCTAGCGAGGATTCGGTTTTCGGGTTACGGACTTGGGGGATAAGCAGCTTGAGGTATATGCAGGCCCTCCCACGCAGGGAAGCACAGACGCAGCCCCTCCGACTCGAGAGATGTAAAACCCTAAGCCCTAAACCCTAAACCCTAAACCCTAGGTGTGCGCCTGAATCTCTGGTAAACCTTGGCAAATCCCTACACTTTGGCCTTTTTTGGCCTGCGGCATTAGGCAACCGGAGGGCTGATGTCTGATGTACATCGGTAGAACGTATAAAGTGGCGCTTACGAACGTTGGGGTAAAGTGCGTACATATATATATATATATACACATATACATATACACATATAATTGTTTTTTTTGTTTTGTGTGTTTTTCTTTCTGTGTTCTTCGTCGTCCGACACGGACCACATCTTCCAAGCACCCTAGATTTGTGGCAGGCCTCCTGGAGACCATCAGCTCCTGTGTCGTCCGCTTCGGCGATGTGGATGCAAATGCGACGAGGGCTCCGTCCTCAGAGGGATCGCAAGGGGAGCTGCTGGAACCCTCTTGCGCAGAAGCATCTGCAGCCCGAAGCTTACTTGAAGCCTCTGAATACATGTAACGGCCTTTAGGGAAAAACTTGGGGGGGGGGGGGGGGGGGTATTGGGATAGCTGCGATTATCAGGGTGAGCAGCCCAACCGCAGACGCCAGGAGCTCAACTCAACCCTGACCAAATGCAAAATACCTGCCTGTACTGCAGGCCCTACAAATTGGAAGGCACGTATTTAATGACCTCAATGAGGGTCTAGGCGAAAAAGGGTTCAGGGCAAGGTGTGCAGTGTACCCGGCATTTTCGTCGAGGAGGCCTGTAGAAGACCTTGCTTGCCTTGGAGATCTCTTTGCACGGTTGAGGGCCTTTAGGGTTTACAGGGCCATTGCCCCCCTACTACGTCCCCAACTACTTTAATCCTTATCATAGGAGCCCCCCAAAGCAGGGTACCCCTGTTTTAGGAAACATAGGAGCCCCCCAAAGCAGGGTACCCCTGTTTTAGGAAACCCCCCCAAGGCTTTAGGGCATTTCAGTCCCTGCAGTTCTCGTCTAACTTGACCAGAGCTCGGTGAGGTCCTCTAGGCGAAGTGGCAAGCCTGTTGCAACAAGGGCAATGCCCTATTTGGGAATTTGCTATTTGGGAATTGACGAAAATAGGGGACCCTGAAATAGACCCCAAATAGCTATGAAAAGGACCCCCCAAGAAGGTACCCTTCCTAATTTCGGAAACCCCCGTTTGGCGTTCAAGGCTCTAGGGCTGTTGCCCCTAGCTGCTAGGCAGGTGGCAACCAGAAACAACTTGATCCCTACCATTACAACTCCTAGGCCTGAAAAAGCCGCAAAACCCTTATAAGCCCTGCCACCCCAAAACCCCTAAACCCGAAAACCCTTCCAAAGTGACACGTGCAAGATGGTTGCAGCTTAGCCTTCCCTTCTGGGTATCCTCTGTAGTAGCATAGGACTCCTTAGACAAGGGGCCCCAAAAACTCATTGCGAAACCGAAGCCCTAAGCAAAAGAGCCCTCGTAAGCATCTCAGGTGGCCAACTCGTCTCTGATCGAAGCCATCGTCCCGCCGGCGTCGACCAACGTCACGGTGCCCATTCACATCTTCTGCGGTCAGGCGATGGTGAACGTTAGGGTTTAGGGTTTAGGGTTTAGGGCTTCTGCGGGGGGGTTTCCTTAAGCGAGGGGTACCCCTCTTAGGGGGGCTTCCCAAAATGAGGGACAGTGAATGTCAGTGGGTTGAGTCTTTGGTCCCGGCAGCAAAAGCGAATGTTTTGGGAGTTTGGGAAATACCATGTGACAGCACAGGGATGTTGAGGCGATCCCGGCACATGTTTCAAGGCACGGTGATATTCGGCGACCGCCTTCGTCACTCAACTGGTCTCGTATCTAGAAAGTGTCCTGCGAGCCTCTGGGCTACAGCCTTCCCTACGCTCCTAAGCCTTGCAACTTATAAATCCTAGGGCACCCTCAACCCCTTCAAAAGACTAGCAAAATAAGTGGGATGTTCCCCCTAGACTAACAGTTCTTTTTCTTAATAGGGGTTCCAATAAAAGGGGTACTTTCTCCCAATTTAAGGACTCTTAGTATAAGGGGCAACATCCCCAAAACATACCCTCAACCGGGCATCTGCGCAGGAGTTGCTGCAAGTCACCTACCCTCAGACCTGGAACTTTCGCTACGTGTTCCTGCCTGGAGCCCAGAGATTCGGGATTTTGGGGTTTATAGGGTTTACAGGGCCTATAGGGTTTGTAGGGTTTATAGGGTTTAGGGTTTATAGGGTTCATAGGGTTTGTAGGGTTTATAGGGTTTTGGGTTTATGGGGTTTTAGGCTTGTAGGTTTCGAGATGTGGGGCTCTATGGTGTTAGCTACTGATAGTGGGCTTGAGGGCGCCGTAGGGTTTAGGGATGCAGGGTTCATGGGCTGGGGCCCTAGTGACATGATGGCCTGAAGGAGAAACGCCCTGATCGCTCGCCGCGTGCAGCCCCGGGTACAGTAGAAAGGGCCCCAACACTTAAGCGACACAATCAGGCTGCAATAGCCAATCGCATGGCGCTCCTGATTGCTCTTTTGAGCAGAAGGCTCTTCAGCGCATTCACCATCGCTCCGCAGACCCTAAGGCCATGTCCACAAGGAAAGCCCTGCACCTACACCGTAAACGCGAAGCCCTAACCCTTAATCCTGCAACTGCCGTAGGCCAGAAGTCCACGCAGTCGACCCCGATGAGGCACTTGGGTGTAGTAGAGAATTCGGGGCTTTGGTTTTGGGGCTCAGGATTTTGGGGTAAGGATAGAGACGAAGAGTCCACCTTAAGGACGTGTGAGCTCGATGAGAAGTCGACCAAGTCACGGATGACTATACTTATTTTGTCTCTTCTTTTTGTTATGTTGTTATGGCATGGTTCTATTGTTAGCTGATGATATTGGTATGTGGCTGTATTGTTGCGATATTTAAGGAATCTCGCACTAGCTATTTTGCCAAATTGGTATGCTATTATGTTAGTATGTTATTGCGTTATTAAGTTATGTTATTCGTACAGAATTATATTCGTGTATGTTTTATCTTCGAATTTTAAGAACACATCCTCATATGATGTTCGAAAAGAAGCATAAATATTACGTTCTCAAGGTTACTATATCATTATGAGCTTTGAAGGCTGCCCGTGGGAATGATCTTTTAAGACTGCCCGTGGGAACGGCGCACTGCGACATCACGGCCTCGGCGCGTCGTGCGGCTAAGGTCCGCTGGGCCGGCGCTTCCTTGTTGACGCTCTTCATCAAACCCTAAACCCTAAACCCTAAACCCTAAACCCTAAACCCTAAACCCTAAACAAAAAACAAGCAACCTAAACCCTATCCCCCCCCCGCTATAGGGGGTACTTGAAGAATCCTCTGTCTGCGCAGCTTGTTTTGTTTGGTCCGACGCTTCGCTGGACACCATGGAGCCTACATTACTGCATCTACAAACTACTTCTATCTATCTATCTATCTATCTATGTATCTATCTATCTATATAAACATATATATATATATACATGTTTGTTCTTTATGTATGTATATGTGTGTGTATATGTACATGTATGTGTGCATACACTTTTTATAAGTGGGATACAAATAATATATGTACATACACCACCCACACACACACACACACACACACACACACACACACACACACACGCACGCACGCACGCACGCACGCACGCACGCACGCACGCACGCACGCACGCACGCACGCACGCACGCACGCACGCACGCATGCATGCATGCATGCATGCATGCATGCACACACACACAGTCACTCACTCACTCACTCACTCACTCACTCACTCAGATATATATATATATATATATATATATATGTATATGTATATATATATACATATGTGCACATATGTATGTCATTTTCCACTTAAAGTAAGATGCACATACTGTACTATGGGTACAGTGGGCGAGTAGCCTGAACCCGAGCTCACCACAGCCAGAAGCCCAAGGCCCCCCAAGCAAATTGAGAAGTAAAGCAGCCCAAGCTCTGAACATTCACTGCGGTTTGGGTTTAGGGTTTAGGGTTTAGGGTTTAGGGTTTAGGGTTTAGGGTTTAGGGTTTAGGGTTTAGGGTTTAGGGTTTAGGGTTTAGGGTTTAGGGTCTCTTCCTGCTCCCCTTCATTTGGAGAAAAAAAGCATGTCAAATAGCACATGACGAAATAAACAGACAACGCACGCGGTTGTAATTACAACCCCAAGCCCAAAGAAGTCCCAGCCTGGGGGCCCCACAGTAAACCCTAAACCTTGGCGGGTGGCAAAACCTAAGCCCTAAGTTTGAAACCCGAAGCCCTGTGATGCGATAAAGACAGATGCAGTTCTACCACTTGCTTAAGAACCCCCCCCCCCCCCCACAAAAAGAAAAAAAAAAACAAAAAACAATAAAATAAATTCTTCCTTATAGGGGGTAATATAGGGATGATTACATATTTCCTTTTGTTGGGGCGGTTCTCAGACAAAATGATATTGGGATGATTGCATTTTCCCATTTTTTGGAGGGTTTCTTAGAAGCAGCTCGTCGAGATGGCTGCACTGAGAGGTCGAGGCGCAGAGTCGGGAGTGGCTGACACTCCATGGCCGATACTTCGAGGACTACCCAGGCAACTCTTGGGTTTGTTGGTTTTAAGTAGTTGGTTCTTGTTTAGTTTGTTGTTGGTTTTCTATTGGTTTCTTGGGGGGTGTGTGGGCATTTTGTGGTGTTTAGGGTTGTTTGGGGTTTTGGGTTTGTGGGGTTTTGGGTTTGTGGGGTTTCGGGTTTTGGGGGGGTTTTGGGTTTGTAAGGTTTAGGGTTTTTGGGCTCTAGGTTTGCGAGGGTTTTTCGGTTTCGGGGTTGGGGGGAGGGGGTTTTGGCTTTCAGGCGGCTTCTGGGGTCTGGGGCTTTGCGGCGTTGTGGTCGTCCTGTAGCCTCGTTTGCTATTACCGAGGCCGATCTTGCCTAATCGGCGGCGAGCTGATTCAGAACGTGGCGGTGCGCTGGATGAGCTGCTCAGTTGCAGCCTAGAGACTGGTCGGTCCAGGCCTGTGGCAAAAACCCTAGACGATCCCAAGTCCCCTCAACCCACAACCCTAAACCCTTGCAGAAACCACAAACCATCCTGTGCCCGACCCGCTTCAACATTCTTCTGCGATGGCTTTATAGGCACTAATTTTCCTTTTCTCTTGACAGAAAACCAGACTATGTTCTCTGCAATGTGGCCTCTGTGTCACCTAGGCAGGTGACAAGAAAAAAGCCCCTAAACCCTAAGCCGCCCTGTAGGCCCGAACATGGTGCAGTGCCGCATGCCCCTCTGGAAGCAGGCGCACAGGGGATGGCCTCACGCATCTGTCACTGTCGGTTTAGCAAGGAGGGCGCACGGTTTCAGAACGTCACCATGATAGCAAGCTTTTGGGGGATTGAGAAGTTTTATAGCATATGCGTCGAGTTTCGGACTTCGCCAAGGGTAGGCTGCGTTCAAAAGGGCTTTAGGGAGTTTAGAGTTTAGGGGGCCCTAAACCCTAAACCCTAAACCCTAAACCCTGAACCGTTTAGGGCTCAGGGGACCTTAGGGAGTTTAGGGTGCGCAGGCCGCGAGTGATATCCTTGTGTCCTTCTCCAACGATGGAGTCTTCTTCTCCAAGGAAGTCGTCGCGGTGAACACCTGGGTTCGCATTTGGGCTGCGTGGTACACTTTTTCGTGCCTCATTTTTATAGTGTCTACTGTATGCGACAGTACATACACACATACACGGTCATATATTGTAGACTATATGTAATGTATAGAATTACATGTATATAGATGTGTATACATACATATTGCCGTAGCATATGTGTTCGACATTGCACATGTTCATGCAGTATATACTAATGCATTGTATATGTTCATATTATAGATAATGCATGCTGCATACTGTATACTATGTATGTGTGTCAAATCGTACTAGATGCGAGATGGCAGATTTGTTTGTGGATGGTAGATGTTGTACATGTTTTGCTTGTGTGCTGTACATATACGTACATACAGACACACACAAATTTATATGTATGTATATATATATAAATTGATCATTCAGAGGTATATTTATTTCTATATTTATATGTATGTTACATTTGCATATTATTGTTTACACGCCCTTTATGCCTTGGTTTTGTGCACCCTAAAAGACTGCATTCCCGAGCCCTTATTCTAATCCGCAACTCCCTCACTAAACTGCATGCAGCTTTCTGCAATGTAGCCAGCCATGAATTGGGCTTTCCTAAAAAAGGCAATGCGTTCGAGCTGTTGAATTAGGGGGTGGACGCGGCTTGTAGGAACCAAGAGGAGCGGGATCTGCAATAGGACAACAGGCTATGAAAGGCACTCTGCTGGCCTGTGTTTTCACTGAAAGGCTACCGGTGGCATGGTGTTGAAGCCAAGGCATCCGTCTCTTCGATGTGCTCCCGCGTGCCGGGGCTTATGGAGTGTAGGATGGAAGAGTTGTCTTTGTTGGTATTTGGCGGTCCGGACAAAGGACTTTCACTGTCTCTGTGAATAGGGGCGGCAGCTCGGGAATCATGCGCGTAAGAGCTACACTTGGCCGGCCAGCTCGACCGCCTTTCCCGAGCGTTGGGCTGCCCACTCCCATCTGGGATGGGAGTTAGCCATGTTCATGATCCGAGCTCACGGAACCGAAAGATGATGATGTCTGCACTGGCAGCAGAAGTTGAGCAAGCTTCAGTAGCCATAGCTTGCAATCTTCGAAAGGAGTTCACATGTTGGAACGCTCGTAGCCACGGAAGACAGGGGCCCTCAAAGGCGCTATGCCTCAAGCACTTTGCAAGTCAAGCTGACCCTAGCTTGACTCTGACTGATCGGCATGGATCTTGTCAGGAAAGCGCAGCACATGTAAACGTGATGCAGGGCTTGATCTCTTCGCTTGATGACGTGCAACAGAGACTGCAGCCAAAGTCTCCCCGATAATATGCTCGCACCTTCAACAAATGCCGAAACTTCTTCACCCCGATCCCCCACCTCCTCAGCTCGCCACAGGCGTGGTGTATGTGGCCGAGCCGTGGAACATCACCCTCTATGGCTACAACTTCATCCCTGGCCTTCAGCACCTCTCCTTGAAAACATGGCCTTTCAGGGTAAATAGAAAAACACATATATAAATATATATAGCACATGATTTACCTATGTATAAATATGTACATATACATATATACATATACACACACACACATATATATATATGTATACCCAGGAGGATCTGCAGGTATGAAGCGCAATCAAGTGGCTGGATTGAACAATTGGTAGCCCAGCGGTATCCTTCACGTGTTTTTTGGTTCTGGGTTCCCTTATACAGCAGCCAACCAAAAAAACGGGCACCCTTATTACAATATGGTTACTGGACTACAGAGAGAATCCACGTGGTACCAGGGCTGGGCTTGCAAGATTGCGAGGTGCCTTTTCAACGACTATGTTCGGGCGGATCCGGCCACTGGACAGCATGGTACAGCATGGCTTGGGTCATGTCGGTTCAAGCTCTGCTGATGTACTTAAAGTACCAGGTGCCCGAATCCTCCCTCCACGTTCTGTGTCAGGGGCCATCAGCAAGAGACACAAGACGGCCAACAACCCTAGGCCCCCTAAACCCCACACCCTCTGAGCCGAAAACCCTGACTTGAAGCCCTCTGGAGCTGAGACTTTGGGGTTTCGGGAGATTTTTGATGTCATGATGGGCTCATAGAGGATTAGGGCATGATTAGGGTTTAGGGTTTAAGGTTGGCAGCCCTTTCGGTTTCGGTTTAGGTTTTCAAAGTGCTATCGACCCAAAGCCCATGCAGCGCAACAGCCCTGGATCCAAAGGCAGCCAGCTCTTATCCGACATGCAGTCATGTGTCAGGGTTGAGGATTTCCAGATCCATGTCCAAGCCCCTGCTGCCTTGTATGATAGTGGCTCCTTTTGCTGAGTTCCACCTGCAGCACGAGCAGCTAACCTGCGAGATGCCGCCAGAATTTGTGAGCCACGGATGCGGGTTTTGCGGGAAGAGTTGAGGACTTGACATGGGTTGACTCTCGCAGGGTTCTCCCGCAAAGCACCCAGCTGATGGTACAGACCCTAAACCCTAAGCCCTAAGAAGCTGATCCTATAGGTCATGATCTTGGTTCCGCTGTGAGATGCCTGGCACCTTTAGGGCACAAGCAGCCTACACAGAGATCGTCGGCGATGCTCCGAAACCGAGCCGAAACCTAAACGTACAAGGGTTCAGGGTAATTATGGTTTCGGGTTTAGGGTTTGTTTAGGGTTTAGGGCCGCGAAAACCCTTCTTAGCGGACCCTCCAGGCAGGAGCCGAGGCTGCTAATTTTTAGACCAATTCCTCACAGCGTGAGCCTAAGACCATGAACAGTACAATGAAGAGGGATTGTGGTGCTGTAACCCCTGTCAAGGACTGTTGGTATAAGTGGGAACATCCCAACCTAAACCCCTGGTTGAACCCAACTCAGGAAAGTGGGTGTCGGAAACATCACCGTCCGTTTGGTGATGCGGCGTGACTTCGCGCGACAGACGAAGTATGTGCTGGAGGCCAGGTGTAGGTTCACAGGACTCAGGATAGATAAGCATGTCATTGTGTTTGAATTGGGCGGGTTTTGGGGCGGTAGGGGGGTTGTGCAGTATGAGTCCATGGTCGTAGGTGGAAGTTATGGACTGCAAAGCTTGACGCAGTGGCTCCTTGGTATGCTCGTGAAGGGCTTTCTGTGTCTGTTTGGCTCCAGGTTCGTGCTGGAAGGATTCTGAAATTCATGGTTGATCACGGTAAAACTATAGTTACTATGATAAGTTGCAGTCCACCAAGAATTGCGCAAGTTGAGATCGACACCTTAGAGGTCAGTAGTTTCGATCTTGGAAGTCCTAGCTTTAGTTCTTCATTGCAGGGCACAAACAAAACCGGCATACGTGATTCCGCAAAGAATGGCAAAAGGGGGACTTGGCAGTTACCATGGCCTGCCTTACCATGCACGGCTTTCTTCCTAGCATTCCTTCCTGATTGACGTTGCGGGCAATGGATCTTTCCGTGGCGCCCGCGATCGATCTTCAAGTGCTAAGCTTGTCAGGCGAAGGAACCACCATTCACGTCCGGCCCACAAGTCTCGGACGAGAGGTGCGGAAGACAATTCTCGAGGAGCTCGGCGGGGCCAGGCCAGGCGCAAAGCTGATCCTTTATAACAAGTCTGAGCGGCTGATGCTCCACCAGACTCTACAAGAGCAAGGCATCACAGGTGCAACAGCGCTGTCCTGCACTTGGGTACCAACGGACTTGTATGAGGCCTGGTGTTTTGTAGAGAGCCGTGGAACCTTGGATGAGGTTGCATTAGAAGGGGTGACACAGCTGGAGAGTGCCTCAACTGACTCAACTGCTGAGTACATGCTCTTTCTCCCCCAAACGCTGGAAAAGCTGGCTTTTACCAAGACCTTCAACCAGAGTCTCGAAAGAGTGACGTTGCCAGCCAACTTGCGAAGTTTGGCCTTCGGACAAGCTTTCAACCAGAGCCTGCAAGGAGTGACCCTGCCGAGCAGTTTGCAAGTCTTGACCTTTGGACACTTCTTTAACCAGAGCCTGGAGAGAGTGACGTGGCCAGCCAGCTTGGAAAGCTTGACCTTTGGTGTTTGTTTCGACCAGAGCCTGGAAAGCGTGAGCTTGCCCAGGAATCTGCGAAGCTTGAGCTTTGGGGCACGTTTCAACCAGAGCTTGCAAGGAGTCACGTTTCCAGCCAGCTTGCAAAGCCTGATCTTCGGACACGATTTTGACCAGAGCCTGCAGGGAGTAGCGCTACCAGACAGCTTGCACAGCTTGACTTTTGAGACTTTTGATCAGAGCTTGGAGGGCGTGAACTTTCCTAGCAGCCTGCAAAGCTTGACCCTCGGATCAAGTTTCAACCAGAGCCTGGAAAGAGTGACGTTGCCAGCCAACTTGCGAAGCTTGAAGCTTGGCTTTCATTTCAACCAGAGTCTCGAAAAAGTGACGTTGCCCGCCAACTTGCAAAGCTTGACGTTTGGATATCACTTTAGGCACAGCCTGGAACTTGTGACGTTACCGAGAAGTTTGCAAAGCTTGACCTTCGGATCAAATCGCGACCAGCGCGAGACGTTGCCAGGCAGCTTGCGAAGTTTGACCTTCGGAGACTGTTTTACCCAGAGTTTAGAGGGAGCGACGTGGCCAGGCAACTTGCAGAGCTTGACCTTGGGAGAACATTTTAACAAGAGCATGGACAGGGTGAGTTTACCAGACAGCTTGCGCAGCTTGACTTTTGGAGATTTTTTCACGCAGAACCTCGATGGAGTGACCTGGCCGGGCAGCTTGCAGAACTTGACCTTCGGACACAGGTTTAACCAGAGCCTGGAAGGAGTGACGTGGCCAAGCAATTTGCAAAGCTTGACGTTTGGATCTAGTTTCAGGCAGAGCCTGGAGGGAGTGACGTTGCCAGCCAACTTGCGAAGCTTGACGTTTGGCTATTCTTTTAACCAAAGCCTGGACAGAGTGACGTTGCCAGCCAACTTGCGAAGCTTGACGTTTGGCTATACTTTTAACCAGAACCTGGAGAGAGTGACGTTGCCAGCCAGCTTGGAAAGCTTGACCTTTGGTGCTTTTTTCGACCAGAGCCTGGAAGGAGTGACGTTGCCGAGCAGTTTGCGAAACTTGACCTTTGGCTACGGTTTCAATCGGAGCCTGGAAGGAGTGACGTTGCCGAGCAGTTTGCGAAACTTGACCTTTGGCCACGCGTTTAATCGGAGCCTCGCAGGAGTGACGTTGCCGAGCAACTTGCAAAGCTTGACCTTTGGACATGGCTTTAACCAGAGCCTGGATGGAGCCTTATTGCCGCACGATCTGCAATGTCTTACCTTGAATGGCATTTTGCTGAGCAAGTCCGAGCAAGAGAGCAGTCGCGGCAACGGCGCAAAAAGGTTTTATTGCTCAAGCAGTGTTTGAGTTGTACCTTTGGGTTTTTGTTTCGTCACACTGGGGTGAAAGCATGCTATTTGACTGGTTATTGCCGGGTTAACTTGGCTGATCGCTGAAGTTGCGACTTCTCCAGCATTTCACTGCAAAGAAAGCGAAGGTGCTGAGTGAAGCTCCGCAAGTGAGGATAACCCTAAACCCCAAACCCAAAACCTTTCTTGTCCAAACCAGTTCCGAACCAGCAGAAGTCTTTTGAGAGCATGGTGCCGCAGCTCCCAAGCATGCAGCCATGTCTTTTCAGGAGCGAAGCTTCTCCATCGCCTTGGACAATCGACCACCACCTGCGACGGTTGCCCGACCGGATTGGGATGATTGGGGGGGGGGGGGTTAGGGCTTGAGGGTTGGGGACGGTCTAGTTCATGAGGCACTCAATAGTCCGATGATCTGAAACCCTAAAACTGAGTTGTAGCCTAGTGTTGTTCACCACTATGTGTCCGTCTGGATTCGGGTCTAGGAGCAAGAACCCCCTTGCGCGTGATTAGTGTTTTTTCATGCCTGACAGCGACAGGCCGATTAAATCTAGAGACCTGAGCAGGTTATAAACCTCTACCACGCCAGGATAATGAGGCTTCGCCTCATTATCCTGGCTGGGTCAGGAGTAGGTCTTGGCTTCGCCAAGACCTACCTACCTACGTATAATTTTTTTAACCTGCGTAGTTCACTCTTCTAAACTGGGAAGGCTTCGCCTTCCCAGTTTAGAAGAGACCTTCGCTTCATTCTGAGCACCACTTAAGGTTTTTTAACCTTAGTCAGGTAACTTTATCTAAAGGAAGCGAAGCCCAAAACAGGAGACCCTCCACTCTGAATCCCAAAACCCGAAGGTCCAGCCAGCGGACTACCACCACAAGGAAGATGAGGACGAGGAGCACGAGCCGACGGAGTTCCGGAGGCCGAAAAGGGAGGGGGGGGGGGGGAGAGGGTGGGGTTCGGGTTTGGAGCGAGACGCTGCCGGGTCTTTTGCATTGGTTCTTAAATAACCAGCGTCCACGCAAGGTTCAGGCTCGCAGCCAGGCTTGCCTTTGCCAACACGGTCAGTCAGGGTTTAGGGCTCGGGGTTTAGGGTTTGGGGTTTGGGGTTTAGGGTTTAGGGTTTAGGGTTTAGGGTAAGGGGAACTCGTCCTTGCAGGTACAACGGAAACTTGCGCCCACCCTCTGAAGACGAGCTGCCGCCGGAGAGACCGAAGGTGCCCTTGTCTAGTCCGATGGCCGGAGAGTCAGGAGTAGCCAAACTGAAACTAACGTGGGTGGCAACGCCAATTGAGAATCAAATCCGGAGCCACAAGCCTCAGTTGTTATTTGGTTGAGGGTTGACTGAATATCTAGGGACGGGCCCTCTCGGTTACACAGAGTATAAGGTTCAGAATGCAGTGAAAACGGGGTCGCGCCTCAGCGTGTTCCGGATGCACACGGTGCGAATGGAGATCGTATAAAACTGCTCTATTCGTTGCAGTTGCAACCACGGGCGTACATCGGATTCTTCAGTTTCGGCTTGGGCATGTTGCAGCACCCTATGAACGTCCCAAGTGGCGACTCCTTCAGCACGGCTCCCGATTGTTTAAGGTTTAAAAGGACAAAAGCATCGTTGCTGGTTGTTTCATGTAAGCGATCCGAAGCCCACCGTAGCCAACGAGAGGGTTGACCCCCCGGCGCTCAACCCTGCAAGACCTAGTGTTTAGGGTTTGGGGATTGGGTCAAAGGTTTAGGGTTGCAGGGTTTAGCGTTTAAGGTTAAGCCCCAAACTGTCTAGGAGCCAGAACGATCATATTGGTTTCCTTCGACCTTGTCAGATGGAAGCCAAGTCAGCCCCTCTGGCAGCACAAGAGTGGACGTCATGTTTGTTCCTTTACTCTTGATCGCAGTGCAGAAGTCACCCGGCTTGCGACGTGGAGTTTAGGTCCTCCCTGAAAAGATGTCGCAGCTACATGCCACCTGCCCTCGGTCTTGCACCGGAAAGTAGTTGAAGCAAAAACTCTCTTAGAGGAGCGCTTGAAACACGATGCCAGATTATCCGCGCATCTCCATCTCGCCGCAGCGGAGTCCTCTGGATGGTATTGAGGTGGTTATGCGGACGGCCACCTGGTGCAACCTCTAAGACAACTCCATATTCCTCAGGCGGCAATGCTGGAGCGCATGGAACCTTTAGGCCGTAAACTTCTGAAATCTTTCAAGGGTGCTTGGCACTCCGCCTGCTCTTTGCAAAAAATGTAGTTCCCCTCAATAGGGGGTTGGAATAACTACTAGTAGTACTCCCTTATAGTCACCATGTAATTATACTATAATAATCCCCGAAACCCCTGTTCAAGGCCCCTATATTACTCCACTGGGTGGAATCTGAGGATGGCTTTTACATTCCGCCCTACGCGCGTTGCAGATGCCGCTTCGGCACTACGCAGGCCCCGCGAAGACGACGTGGGGGGGGTGCCGGGCAGGGTAAGAATCGCCTCCCCCTGGTACTAAACCCCCCCCCCCCCGCCCCCTACCCCTTAACTTTAAATCCTCCCATTTATAGTTATATATGAGAGCATGGGGGGGTGGGGGGGTGTTGAATATTAGGGGTAGGGGGGGGGGCTTAATGTTAGGGGGAGGGGATTAGAATGGATGCCTGGTCACGTCGCTTTAAATCGAGGTCTTCGAGGCTTCTCCCAAAGCTACGGGTGCCACGGCAGAAGCCACAAAGCTTTCTTGGCCTTCTGCTCTGAACCCGATCCGACTCGACCGCGACCCCCCGAAACCTCTAAAGACCACCACCCAGAAAAGAAACCTGCAGCAACCCTAAACCCCAAACCCCAAACCCTAAACCCTAAACCCTAAACCCTAAACCCTAAACCCTAAACCCTAAACCCTAAACCCCAAACCCTAAACCCTAAACCCTAAACCCTAAACCCGAAACCCTTCCAGTCTGACCAGGTCCCTGCATACTGCGTGGCACGGAGGCAGCAAGTCCAATGCAGGCCAAGATGCCGGGACCGACGTTGAGCTTCGGTTTGGGGTTTAGGGTTTAGGGTTTAGGGTTTAGGGTTTAGGGTTTAAGGTTTCAAGTCTCCATCATGGGCTTTGGTTGCACCCTAAATAAGTCTACCATGTCCGAATATTGTCACAATCATTCAGAATGTAGATCAACCGGGGAAAAAGCCATGAGTAGAAGCCCCTAGCACTGAAACCCTAACCCGGCTCATAAAACGCACAAATCTATGCTGCCTGTTCGTGTTTGTGTGCGACCGCGCACCTGTTGTTTGCGTGACAGGGCCCCTCCAGTCACCGGAGCTCAGACAGACTCTTGGCCAAACCGGCTTCGGAGGGTCTTAATTAATTAAGAATACACTTCATACCCTGAGGCCGCAAACCAGTGCCGAGTTTGTCCCAATCCTTCTGTTAGGAGTGCAAAGCGGGGGAGGGGGGGGGGGGAGGGCTCGACGAATCCGTTCTCCGGCCAGGGGGAGCTTGCAATCGCCAACAAAAGTAGGTTGGAGGCTGACTCGTAGGCGTGAAGGCTGCCTATGGTGGGGATTCTCTCAGGACAGAGGTTGGCAGAATGACAATCGAGCTCTGAGCTCAAATCTCAATCGCCGCCAAGAAGTTTCCAGGCCCATAAGGCCTTGAAAAAGGGCGTCCGCAGCAAGTACTGTAATATGTTGTGCAGGCCCGGAAGAGGTGCATCCATGAAGGTTGAAGGTATGAGAGAGGGAGAGGGGAAGAGAGAGAGAGAGAGAAAGAGAGAGCGAAAGTGTGTGTGTGTGGGGGTGTGCGCACACGTGCGTCTCCATGACTCGAATTGTGTGCATAAAACAGGAGCCAAGTCCGAAATATGGCAGCACACACGCGCACACACACACACACACCCCTGCCGACCTTTACCAAAAGGACCGATATAGCCGTTGTTAGTCGATAGGTGTTAGCCTGCCTGAACGTATCTTCCACTTAGCTCTGGCTGCCCCATGTGCAGCACATTCCCCAAGGTCGAAGCACAGTTCTCTGTCAACGATGGAGCTGACTGGGGATTTCCACCGGCAAAGTTCTCGTAGCTTGGATGCATGGCGATAGATCCTTAATGTACCAGCATGTTGGATTCAGGGCCGTACACAGCAAGAAGCTCAGAGGCTTGAAGCCGCAGAGCACCCTGTCCAATCTCGCGTTGCCAGCTAAAGGCATAAATCCGCACAAGTGTAATATAGACCCTATACACCCTCTAAACCCTGCTACTATACACCCTAAACCCCTAAACCCCCTAACCCCTATAAACCCTATTCTGCAAACCCAAAACCCCTAACCTCTACAATCCCTATAAACCCTATAAGCCCTATACTTTACATAAACCCTATTCTATAAACCCTCAACCCCTATAAACCCTATACTGTAAACCCTATAAACCCTATAAACCCTATACTAGAAACCCTATAACCCCTATAAACCCTACAAACCCTATCAACCCTATACTATAAACCCTATAAACCCTACACTATAAGCCCTATAAACCATATACTATAAGCCCAAGGTACTATGCGCCGCCGCTCTTCGACTCGATCTCACCGCCTCTGGGCTCCCTCCAGGGGGTGACGCCCGGCGCAGAACACTTTAGGGCCTTTAGGGTTTAGGGTTTAGGGTTTAGGGTGTAGGGTGTAGGGTGTAGGGTTTCGGGCTTAAGGGTTCCATCTTAGGGAGGTCAAGACATGTATTCCAAAATCCCTCCCAAGGAAGGGGGAGTCCTTGAATCATCGAACAGGGGGCCCTATAAGAACATGTAAGGGACGACGCCGCAATAACTGCAGGGACATTTCTTTAGGTCTGTGATCAGGTTTTCCGGCTCGCGTTTGGGGGTCGAGGGGTTTTGGCCAGAGGCTTTAAAGCAAGTGGAGATGCAGGGTTGTGTGTTTAAGGTGGCTTGAATCTATCTGCTCGTAGGATCGTAGGAGAGCAACACTGGCACCGAACGTGTCGGAGCGCGATTGAGATGCGGATGCCATGTTGTTTCCACCAGAGTTATGGACTAGTTCTGCGCACTTGTACATTGCACTTGCCTGCTTTGTATGTGAAGCCTGCTTTAAGCTTCGGAGACTGTGCGCGGGCTGAAAGTGCCCATGCGTCTTGCACGTTCCTCGCTCCTGCTAGAACAAGCACAAGTTGTCTCTAGGCCCTATCATCGAACGAACTCTAAAACCCGAATCCCTGCACTGCCAAAAACCCCTAAAACCCTAAACTGCCTAAACCCCTACATCGATAACCAGCAACCACAACCACAGGCCCAACCTAAATGGACCCTTCTGAACCCCAGAGTTGGACGTCGCGCAAGCTTGAGGAACAACGTCTCGATCTACATCTTCCAGTTCCCTCAAGACTCCTCCGTGTCGATGTACTGCCGATGGCAGGGCCGCCTGGAAGAAGACGTGCTTGGGGCACTTAAGGGGCCCCTGTAACTCCAAGAGCAAGTAGTTAGTGCCCTAATGAACCCCAAACCCCAAACCCTTAACTTCTAAGCCCTATAAACCCTAAACCCAAAAGTCCCCTACTGTACTCGAAGCCCTGCAACCCGACCCTGCTTCTCACCGGTCGAAGGAACCTACGTCGTGCCTGCCTACGTCGGCGGGACAGACCATATCATCTGCACCTCGCACTGCTGGACGTTGGGAGGTGTTACTGAGGAGTTGAATTTAGCCGGCGTCGACGGTGACGGGTATACCATGATGAATGAGTCTTCAGGCTTGTTCTGGTAGGAAGTACGACGTGTTGTTCCTACTCAACGGTGTCCCCTTTGCAGGACACCTGGCTCCCAATTGCAACAACAAAACCCTATAATTTCAAACTCATTCCAACCCCAAACGAACCCCCCCCCCCCCCACAAGCCCTCAGTTTCTGAGTATTAAACCAAAAACCCCACAAACCCTCAGTTTCTGAGTATTAAACCAAAAACCCCACAAACCCTCAGTTTCTGAGTGATAAACCAAAAGCCCCACAAACCCCTCAGTTTCTGAGTGGTAAACCAAAAAAACCCCCCTCGTCACCCAGGTGCCGTCCCTGCCCACCGGCGATTCGCTCCCTGGAGCTACACAGGCCGTGCCATCCCCCGCTTAACATAAAGGGCATCGCCCGAGAATACGGCTGAATTCCGGAATCCTTTGCCCAAAACCCTAAACCCTGGGGTGCCAAAAAAACCCTAAACCCTAAACCCTTAAACTACAGAAAAGCATCTAGGTTCTGAAGTAAGCAGGTCTATGTCCCTGAAATTGGTGGGGGGCTTATCAGGAGCCTGGATGTCCCTCAAGGCTGGCTACGCTGCTTCACCCCCTTTCAAGACCAGCTGTCCTCGTTCGCTCAGCTTCGGTCACCTATAGCAGGAGACGACATGCCGCTGACGCTGGAAGTGAGCTTCGCCGGACTACCGCAAGTGTCTTGGATTGAATGCATTTGGGCTTTTGGTGACCCCTTGAATCGCTCTGTGTATTTTGGTGAGGTACACCATACACTCTAAGCCGTCAAGCCCAAACCGAATTAATGCGTCGCAAGTTTGTCATGAGGTGTGGATTCCATTACCACGAAGCCTCCACTTCCGGCAGCACAACATCCCCGTGCGCGCCACGCAGGCAGGGCTTCGCTCTGGGTTGGGGGTTGTGCTAAGGCGATCGGAAAGTTTCCTGGATAGACAAGATGTACCTTAAAGGGTCATCCGATATATCCGATATATCCCCCTTTACGACGAAGCTACCTTCATATAACTACGCCTAACCTGTCCTGGCTGGCTTTGGGAAAAGAATCTGCACACAGAAATTGTTGCTTGTGACTTCAACAGGCTTCTTTTGGGCAACAGTTTGCCTGCCCTGCCTTGGACAAGCTTTATGCACCCTTTCCTTGGTCCGGCTTTGCGAGGCTTGGGGACCTCCAAATTGAGTTTGTTTAGGGTTTAGGGTTTAGGCGGTTTAGGGTTTAGGGTTTAGGGTTAGGCAACTTGGGGGAGCTAAACAGTTCAATCCTGCCGAACAAGTTCTGGTATAACCAACCACCCAACCCAATGAAAGACCACGCGGAAGCTGCATGCCTTCAACGGGAAAAACAGGGAAGGCCCCCGGCTCCTCACTCGTGTCCGAGGTAAGATGCCTACAGGAACCTAAACCCTGTTTGCATCCGGGCTTGGGCAGTCGGCCGGGGAAAACCCTAAGCCCTAAACCCTAAACCCTAAACCCTAAACCCTAAACCCTAAAAGCTCCAGCAGGAGCTCTTCGTGTCGCCGCGACACGGCGTGGCCTCCAAAGGTGGAGCCGATCTGATGCTGCGCGGCCGAGGGTGGGGCCTAGGGATTAGGCAACAGGTTTTAGGGTTTATAGGGTTTATAGGGTTTATGGGGTTTATAGGGTTTTTAGGGTTTTTTAGGGTTTTTAGGGTTTTTAGGGATTACAGGGTTTATAGGGTTTATAGGGTTTATAGGGTTTATAGGGTTTATAGGGTTTATAGGGTTTGTAGGGATTACAGGGTTTACAGGGTTTTTGGGGTTTTTAGGGTTTTTGAGGGTTTTGAGGGTCTACAGGGTTTACAGCAGGGTTTACTGGGTTTCTAAGGTTTAGGAAAAAGGGTGGTTTTGGGCTTTGGGATTTTGGATGTTTCGCCCAGGTATGCCGAAACGGCCCCCTGTTTCTTGTCTAAACATAACCCTAAACCCTAAACCCTGAAACGTCAAGGGCTCCAGTGCAAGAGCCGAGGCTAACTGGCAACGGCTTCGTCTTCCCAACGGCGACTTGGGGGCTTTACGGGTTGGCGGGGTGTAGGGTGGGTTTTTAGGGATTGGGTGTAGGGTGTAATATGGTGTAATTAGGGTTTAGAGTTTAGGGTTGGGGGTGTGGGGTGCGGGTGGGGGCGTTTGTTGTTCTGTTCTTGATGCGCTGTTTCTTTGTATGTAATGTTGAGGATGGGGATGAGGATGGTGATGAAGGTTATGACGATGACGACGACTTACAGTAGCATTGTAGTCGTCATTTGTTGTCCTCGCGTGTGTCTCTGCGTGCAAGGTTACAACGTCCGTTTTAGTGAGTGAGCTTGCGAGCACGCATGAGTGAACCCCCCCACCCCACCCCGCACACTTGCACAAGTGCACGGGAGCACAGGTGCACAGGTGCACAGGCGCGCATGCTGCAAGCACACTAGTGCACACGTGCACCGGCGCGCACACACACACACATACCTGCAACGAATGAGAAGCGGAGCAGGATGAAAGCCCCACGGCGACCATCAGGTGAACTCGACCTTGGTGGGATGCGTCTTCGGGCGCAGCTACTTCTCCCATGCAGTGGCTTGGTCCGTTACTCACAGGTTCTTACTGAGCCAACGGCTTGGAATTTTGGGCACTTTGGGGTTCGCGTCAACCTTGGCCTTATGGCCGTATAGACAGTATGACCTATACGATGTCGCCCTGAGCCGACGCAGTGCTGAACCTCCCCCCCCCATCGCCCCCGTTCGAGTTCAGCAAGCCGAATCGAAAGAGAGAGTGGGCAGACCTTCAGCAGATCTGCTCGAGCCACGTAGCACAAAGAATCGCAAGCAACATGCGCACCCTCTGAAACACTCGTCTAACAAGTGATTTAAAACCGGCCCCCCCCTCTGTTCACTTTCCGCATCACGTGCCATCATGACCTTGCAAGAACAAAGGGTGCACGAGTTAGGGTATGTGGACCTTCGGCTAGGATCAGCAGCAAAGCGCAACCGTTGATCCGAAACCAGGGCTTAGGAGTGCAGGGCCTGAGGTCGAACACAGCTTTGGGTTTAGGGTTTAGGGTTTAGGGTTTAGGGTTTAGGGTTTAGGGTTTAGGGTTTAGGGTTTAGGGTTTAGGGTTTAGGGTTTAGCAGGAGGGTGTGACCGTGCGGGTTCGCGGGCCGGGGGTTTCCTCCTCTTGGTTTCGTGTGTCAGGTGGTGAGCAGTGCCACCACAATGACGTGCCGAGCGCCACCACTTGCCAGCATTACGTCTGCAGAGCCGCCCGTGGACGCATCCTGGCGGCAAGACAGAACTGTTTCTTTTGCTTGGAGACGTGGCTGCGTCCTTTTTAAATTCTTGTTGTCATTGTTAATGTTGCACCCGCTTTAGTATCGGCCCCCTCTTTAAAGACAAATTGGCTGAATTATTCAGGACACCCTGACTGTTTGGGAGTCCCTCTTTAAAGACAAATCGTCCGGGCGCCGTAAGAAAATTCCACGTGCCGCGCCTTTAAAAAAGATAGCCGGGCATCGCGAACTTATCTAAGCTCCTCCCGATTAAAATCATATGAACCCCCGGGGCCGTGTAATCAGGATCCCATCCACGCCTCGACTGTTCAGGGGGGGGGGGGGGCCCCCCACACTAAAGAGGGTGCAACATTAGTCTCGTTATTCTTGTTATTTCTACGACGACAGCTCTAATCATCAATCTTAAAACTAATGTTTCATACTACCATGATCATGATGGTTGTGACTCGTCTTGGTATTGATTACTGGCTGCAGCAGCCAGTGGGCCCCTTCCTTCGCATGCTTCCATGTAGCTCTTTCTTCGGTGGCCCTGGAAGCTATTGACAGCTCACACAAGAGCACACGACCTGTCCTGGAAAAGCTCCCCAAAACCGAACACCTAAACCTGGATATAGAGAGAGCTGAGAGAGAGAGAGAAGAGAGAGAGATGCGGGGATGGGGAGGGAAAGCAGAGCCTCACGACTTGGCCTCTCCCGCTTTCAAAGAGCGGCCCCGAACGCAGGGGTGGGCGTGGATGCCCGGAGGTTCGCCCCCTATGCCCCAAGAAACAAAGAACGAAAGAAAGAAAGGAAGGAAGAAAGAAAGACATGTGGGACCCCGTATGTGTGGGAATGGGCGGCCCCGTTGAACTCTAATTACACCCTGACAGCCTTCAAATCAAGGTGCTGGGGATCTTCCGTCTTAGCGCACTAGTGCTGGAAGAGACCCTTAGGTGACCATCGATCTAAGCTTCGATGGCGGACAGACGATGACGAGCCCTGGCGCTGTTGAGCATCAAAATGGTTTCACATGGTTCAGGGGGAAACATGAGTACTGCGATGGGTGTTTCGCATTGTTCGTGGTTCTTGCTTCTTCTTACTTGTTGTAAGTGTCCGCTCTCGTTATTTTCCTGTTTTGTTGCTTGTGTGGTTGCTACATAATCCCAGACCAATCGCGTGCCCCAGCTGGCGAGGAACCTGAACAACTTCTACAGCTACCTGAGAGACTTTGAGTTCAGCGGTATCGTTCCGTCCGGCGGCCTCTACAGCACCATTGTTGCAGCGAATTGCTTGGGTTTTGGGTTTAGGGCTTTAGGGCTTTAGGGTTTAGGGTTTAGGGTTAAGGGGGTGGGGGGTTGGAGCCCTTCAACGGCTATGAAGCCTTGCAGACCTCAGAGAGACACCAGAAGCAATATCTCCGAGATCAGCCCTATCATCATATACAATTCCCAGAAGCCCTATGACTCCAGTGCAGCCAGGTCTCACCTCAGATGGTTTCAAACGCAGTGAAGGTTATTCACTTCCTTTTGTGCGTCTTTGCCCGGCTGACGGATGAGTGTCAGGGTTTAGGGTTTAGGGCTTAGGGCTTAGGGCTTAGGGTTTAGGGTTTAGGGCTTAGGGTTTAGGGTGTCCTTGATCCAAACAGGGTTCAGGATGGTGGCTTCAGGAGGTGCAGGGTTTAGTCAGGGTTTTGCTCCGGTGGTTTGCGTAAGACCTTTGAAGCCTGAGGGAAGGGTTTCAGGGTATTAGGCATGTATCTGTCTGCCAGTCTGTATGAATAACCCCAGAACAACCTAAAACACATGCGAATATTGACGTTGAAGACGACGCAGTCCCACTCGTGAACTCGACATTGATCCTGAAAAGTGGATGTAAGTATATAAATCTCTCACACACACACACCCATATATATATATATATAGAGAGAACATATACATACATATATTTATACATATATACATATATATATATATTATTGTTATTGTTATTATTATTCCGATTAGTATTATTATTATGATTGTTATTATTATTGTTGTTATTTCTACACACACGCACATCGTCCAGTTTCTCTTCCACGCCCAGGCTCGCTCACGCAAGCGACGCTCTCCGGCAAGGGCTTCCAAAGGACACCGAACTTGTTCTTCCGCTTCGGAGAGAAGCAGGCAGGGCACCTTTTGAACCCCTAAGAGGATTTGGGGTTTGGCCCTAAACCCTAAACCCCTAAGCCCTAAACCCCAGACCCTCAGATACAGAGACTGCGCCGAGTAAACCCCCAAACCTTCAACCCTAGTCTGCATGGTTCAGGGCCATGAAGGGCCCTTGCAAGAGACTCGGCCTTACTTCGTACCCTAAACCCTAAACCCTAAACCAGGTCTCTGCCGCGTTGGCGAATGCGCAGAGCCTCCGCACGATCGCACCCATCCAGGACGAGCCAGGCTTGCAAAGCTCTGACAGGTTGAGAGGATTAGGGTTTAGGGTTTAGGGTTTAGGGTGGGTTCAAAAAGGGTTTAGGCTTTTGGGGTCACTAAACCTCTTCACTCGATCAGCTTCGGAAATTGTCTTCTAGTTTTTGTTTTACAAGTTGTTTGAAATCTTTAAGGGGTTCTATAGGAACAGTTGGAAGTATGCAGTTCTGGAGATCATCCCTGACCTCTACACCCCAAAGGCCCAACGGTCAGAGGCCCTTGTCCTAGTTCATCCAGCTCAGCAGGGGGTAAGCCTTACAGAAGGAGCCCTAAACCCTAAACCCTACCTAAACCCTAAACCCTTTGGACCTTACAGTTCCCATGCCGCCACATAGCGACACAAGGGCATGGTGCTGTGTGAGATGTGGGGGGTGATTGATCCATGTCATGGCCCCTGCTGGGGTTGCTCAGGAATAGCGTTTCATTCTTTTCCCAAAAAAGGGTCATGACTCTTCATCAACCCCCATGTCTACCTGGGCTCCGGTTGTAGTTGCTTAAGATCAGAGCGTTCGCCGTAGAAGGGGTGATCCGCTTGACGCGGCAGGCACATATCCGATCCTGTACTCCGTCGACAACCAGACCTTTGTGGCAACAGGCGCGCCGGCACAAGCAGCAAACCGGGTTACTTGAGTTGTTGGGCTCAGGGTTCAGGCCTTCTTCATGCTAGTTTAGGGTTCAGGGTTTGGGGTTTGGGGTTTGGGGTGTAGGGTTTAGGGTTTAGGGTTTAGGGCTACATCATTAGAACCTATTCTGCCCACTAAAGAAGGCCGCCTTCGCTGTACACGCACGACTTCTGGCCGTCGTCAATGATCATGTAGGGTTTAGGGTTTAGGGTTTAGGGTTTAGGGTTTAGGGTTTAGGGTTTAGGGTTTAGGGTTTAGGGTTTAGGGTTCCAAGTGAGGCCTGTACTGGATCGCCTCGGCCACATCCCTGGCAAGGGCCCCAGCGCTTGTGCTCTACTTGAAGGTTCGTGGGTACTTAGAAACCCTTATCCCCTAACCCCAAGTAGGTGGTTAATATAAGTATATTTGGGGTTACAAAAGTACCCATGAACCTCCAAGTCGATGTGCGGAGATGGGGTGGGGAAGGGGGCGAGGGGAATGGGAGGCATGGGTGATTGCCTAGTTTGGGGTTTAGGGTTTAGGGTTTCGGGGGTTTAGGTTTATAAGGTTTAGGGTTTAGGGTTTAGCAAGAGCCTACTTAGTCTGATGGCTTGCGGCTCAGGGGTCTGGAGTCGGACATCCTAATCAGCCCCCAAAGAAGTCGAACCCCTCAACACCTGAATCCCTAAATCTTGGGACGTTCCCCCTTCTACTAGCACTCCTTAATCGGGATTATAATTGGATGGGGGGGGTACTATAGACTATAATCCCTATTCAGGATTCTTGGTATAAGCGGAAACATCACAACCTAAATCCCTAAGTCGCCCCTGCGCTTCCAAAACCTTCAAACCCCCCAACAGCCTACGCCCTAAGCCCTGGTCCTCGCAAAAAACCTTTAAGCCCTTGAGCCCGAAGAGATCCGATATCCTGCGCCCAACATCAATCAGGCTTGCTTGCTTGGAAGGCTTAGGTCTGCAGCCTCAACGACGTGCACTGCGGATCGGGGGCACAGGTCTAGGTTCAGGGTTGGGGGTGAAGTTGAAAGTTTAGAGGGCTTCATCCACACAGTTCTGCACCTCCTAAGCCGTATACAGCACCAACCCGAATTACTTCCGAGTCCTGAAACCCTGAACCCTAAACTCTCCCCTCAGAAAGGTTCGCGCCATCATCCCCGACCGTGGCTTCCGCGTCGGCGGCACCAACGTGCCCTTGACTTTCGCATGAGGTCTGCAACCTGTAGTCCTAAACCCTAAACCCTAAACCCACTAAGGCCCTGTGAACTGCATCTTTTGGGATCCTATACAGTGCTGGGTTGCTTGTTGTCTTTCCACGGCGAGCGAACACAAAGGGGCTGAGCGGGTTAGGTCCCCCGTGGCAGCCGTGTGGGGGTTGTTGGTTTGACAGCCCAAACCCTACCCTGCACCCAACCTCCTGAAATGAGCAGTCGAGGTGACTTTGGTCACTACCGGCTTATACTGGCTGCCGTCCTTGGCCTGCGTGCCTTGGCAGCCTCGGCGCAGCACCGGACCCCACTACTTCAGTCGAGCTCAAGCTGTTTATACCGGTGAAGTAAAGAGCTTGTGCCAGCAGATGGATCTTCCCCCGCACATCGCCTCATGAGGATCACTGAGGGTTGTGAATCCGGGTTCACGTTGACTGCCGACGCCTTGTGAGATGCAGAGCTTTCTGTATCCAAGGCTTCTGGCTGCTGAAGTCCAAAAACTCTTGCCTTCTATCCTGAACTCGTCAAGCTTGCAGTGTGAGAATTGGAACATCGGCAAGGTTCTTCGTAGCAAGTCCACGTAGGGTTCCAGGTACGCCTGGGCTTGTGGGGTTGAGCATGCGGCATGCTTCTGCTTGCCAAGGTCTTCGGCTACGCGCCCGTGTCGGTCATCCCGGTCTACGACGCGAACGACCCAAGCAACCCAAGACTCACGTGCCTCACGCCACCATGCGAGATGCTCTGCTTTGCAAGCTACACGTCTGTTTTGGTTCAGGATCTTGAGGTTGAAGTACTTCAAGGCCACAAGTTCTCCGACCGAATTCGAACAGCATGTGAGCCTCAATCAAGGGATCCTTCCTGGGCCAACATCGCAAAAGGCACAGCAGGGCCGAGCGAGTCGGTCCCCGCATGATCCCTAAAATGGCAATATATCCGGGGGAGCTCAAGCTATCCAGGACCCAGCAAGCTGAGCTGAGGCTGCAGGGGTCCATACTCTGTCTACGAGTTAAACTACCCCCCACACCTACCCTGGAGCCTCTAAAGCACAAGCTTCGAATGGGTTGAGGGCCGAACTCCTGCCTTTCCAAGCCTCGAACCCCTACGAGAACTCTTGTGGGAGTTGACGATATTCAGGGACCCCTAAAGCAGACCCCCCCCCCCCCCCCCCAAATCTTAGGATTCCCTTATACTCAGGACCCCAATAAACGCACCCCTGAGTTCGGAAATCCCTGTCCCTTTTTTGCAGAGTCCAAGGAAAGCCATGTACCTGGACGGACTCGGGCCCCAGGATCCAGAGGAGGATTGCCATGGCTTCGTGACGGTGCAGATGACCTTCAACGGCCGGCGTCTGAGGATGGACCCGCACAGCATCAGGGCCCGGAGCTTCTCCTGACATGTCGCCACTTGAGGCTTCAAAGGCTGCAGGATTCGGGAATTGGCACTTGAAGCTTCAGATTTTGCAAGTCTCCGAGAGCCCCACCCCTGCCCAAGTATATCGGAGGAGTTGTTTGTTTATCACTGTGGCCACTATGGCTTGCTGCAGGGCATGGACTGGTTTCATGGATCTGTTGGTGCTGTGGGTCGTTATTTTCCCTCTGAGGCCGCAACATGTTTGGAAACCTGAGCTATGAGTATGCGACTTGGCTGCACTTCTTTGTTGGCAGAAGCACCGAAGCCCAGACCTCACCAGCTTCAGCTTCATGACGAAGACACACGGAGCCCATGCCACAACCTTTCCCAAGTCAGCCGAGCAGCTTGAAGCTTGCAACCCTAATCCCCACCCCCCCCCCCCAAAAAAAAAAAAAGTAATAAAAAAAATAATAAATAAATAAAAGAAACTCAGGTGAGGATGCCCCAGGTCTTCTATGCCAGCCCATTCCCAGCCGGTGGATTCAGCTGCTTTGTCTGGTTTGTGAGTTGCGAGCCCTAAGCCCTAAACCCGAATCACCCGGGCCCAAACCCAAGTGCGCATTAGAGAGGAGCTTTGAGACAGTGTGTGCCTCGCCAGGCTTGTCTGTGAGCAATTAAACCCTATAACCTTAAACCAACGAACCTTGCCTGCCTTGTGCGAGTGTGAGCGACTAAACCCTACAAACCTTAAGCCCTAAACCCAAAACCCTTAATATGGATTCCAAGTGGTGCCTTTCCGTTGTTGTCGCGTTGGTAGCTTGAGAACCTCACACTTCTCTTTGCCCCCGCATGTCGGCCCAGACAACGAAGTGACCATCGCACTCTTCGGGGAGAACTTCCAGGAGTTCCGTTGCAACGGGCGGGGTCAGAGCTCAGGGGTTCGGATGGGTTCATAGGGAGGGTTTAGGGTTTAGGGTTTCGGGTCGGGGTGTGTTCCTCTGTAGGGTGCAGGGTTTATAGGGTTGCATCAGGGTTTAAGGTTGTTTTCTGGGACAGTGGCCTGCAACCAGCTCCCGGAGAATCTTGTAAGAAGGCCCGAAAGGAGGACGCCGACATGTTTGATGAACCCTAAACCCTAAACCCTAAACCAGGGCCCAGGGACTCCTTCGACCGATGCGAGTATCAGATTTCAGTTCTGAGGCAGGAGTTCGGTGTAGACTTGGAGTGGAACGAAACCCTCCCGAACGACCCCTGCTTCTCTTAAGCTTGCCTTAAAACAGCTTCGAATCTTCCATCCTGTTTTTGCTGCCAGCGAGGGGCTCGCCAGTAATCACACCATTTGCTTCAGCCAGAAGAGTTGCTTAGGTTCCTGGTGGCTTTTGTGAGATTGGTTAGAGATCCCGAGATGTGTAACTGTACGTCGTAGCCCCAAATACAGTTTGAGCCGTAAATCACTTAGGAGGTTGCCTGGGCGGGTTTCCGAGGCTTCGGGCATGTCAGTTGCGAAAGCAGTTCCCAACTTGACTTGGGGATCTTCTTGAAGAAGCCTGGATTTAGGGTTTACGGTTTAGGGTTTAGGGTTTAGGGCAACATGCGCGACGTGGCCGTTTTGTGCATCAGCGGGGGAGCCCCGTCGATACCCACCACCAATCCCCAACTCCCAACCAAACCCGGGGCGAATGCACATGAACACGGGCTGCATCTTTGCGATGTGGGGTCCCTCCCAAGCCAACAGAAAGGGTGTTTAGGCTGGTTTAGGGTTTAGAGTTTAGGGTTTAGGGTTTAGGGTTTACGGGGAATCCGGGTCATGTGGCCCCACTTTGCTTTTGAGGAGCCCATGTGGTGCCGATGGTGGAACTTGGAGACCGGGCTCGGTTGCTTCATTTTTTGGGCTTAGGCTTTCAGTTCTTCAGCGGCTTCGGGTTGGCTAGAATCAACCCATGGCCCATGGCTATCAACATCAAGCTCAGCTTCGAGCCCTGAGGGACTGGTGGCGAAGAAGGGTCTGATTTTGGGTTTGCAGTGAAGGGGGGGTCATCTGTATATGTGCAGATAGCTTCTGCACAACGTTAATCAGGCCTGTCAGAGTTGGGCAACGCTCAGGAAGAAGGCCCGGCCACCGACGTCACGCCGGCCTTCATGCGATGCCGGGCGCCGTCTCTACCACCAGAGCTGCAGCCAGAGCCCTGCCAAGCGAGAGCCGTAAACCCTAAACCCTAATTGGGAAGGGTGGGGTACGCAAGAAATGCGCAACATGCAGTTTTACACTTCGACAGGGTAGGGCCAGTAGTTGTGGCACAGTGCATCATCATCCAAGCCGACTCTGCGCTTAAAGACCCTATGTGCCTCTCCAAGTCTATGGGCTATCTTTCTAGCTCATATGCAGGTCGCAATCCCGAAAGCGATAGACTGCAAGGACAACACCACCGCCCACAGCGTCCTGAGCTACTTCGAGATCTCGCCGAACGGCCAGGATTGGACCCGCTTCAAGCGCGCCTGGCTGTGGTACAGGCAGGGGATGCTCTCAAAACTGTCAGCTGGCGGGCACAAAGTATAATTTGAGGACCCACAGCTTCCAAGCATGACATACTGTTGGGTTTCAGTCCCTCATGAAAGGGGTGGCGGTCATGAACGCAATGGCCAGGCCAAACCAGAACTTCAAGAAACCCTAAACCCTAAACCCTAAACCGTCTGAACATGCCCGAGTGTGAATATATGCTGCTGGTCTTCCAATGGGGAGTTAGCAATTTCAGTTTAGCACATCACAAAATATAAGATACCCAGAAAAGGACCCAATGTCTGTCAAGCTGGGAAGCCCCCCCATTGCTTACACTTCAAGGCTCTGGCAGATTATTTACGGCTTTGTGGCCTGGTGACGTTCGAGGAAGGCCCTTGAGATATGTTTATATTTCCCCTTATTGAGTGTAAGAGGATCATATTTTGGGAACATTCTTTTCAGAGGGCCTCAAGGGGGGTGCCATTTCTATAGGGCTGCTTATGGGAAGGGTGTTTTGACGAGACCTTGTGTCAGGGAGCCACAAGTCTTGACCATCGAGCCCAACACGACGTTCCGCACATTTGCTCCCGAGGGCGACTTCATCATCACAGGCGGGCCGATTTGGGGTTTTGGTTTTAGGGTTTTAGGGTTTTAGGGTTTTAGGGTTTTAGGGTTTCAGGGTTTCAGGGTTTCAGGGTTTTAGGGTTTTAGGGTTTTAGGGTTTTAGGGTTTTATTGTTTTAGGGTTTTAGGGTTTTAGGGTTCTAGGGACCAAAACCTCACTTGTGTAGTTCTCTGAATTAGGGGACCCCTTTCTGGACCTTGTAAAAAGGACCCCCCCCCCAAGAGGGACCCTAATGTAGAGAACCGCCTCACTTACCACCGACTCCTGAAGTATTCCTATGTTCTGAACTCTGCTAACATGTTGAGGCAGCTGCAGCTTCAGTATTTTCAGTGCTTTGCTTACTCTCAGAGGTCCTCCGTGAACGATTTAAGAGGGAATGCCGCAAGAGCAATAGGTACCATAGTAAGGAAAGCATGTCACTAGAAATACTTACTTGCACTATCTGCATCATGGTAGTCTCAGTTTAGCTCCCCAACAGCAACCCAGGAAAACTGCGTGGTTTCCATGATCCCCCTGCGCGCTCTGGTTTCTGTAATGTATCGGAGCTAGCTCGGAGTTGATCGAATCTTGCTCTCCAGTCTCACCAAGAAAGCTTAAATCATCTGTCCCAAAGCCCGCTGCAAATGTGCACAGGCTCCGAAGGCTTCAAAACAGAAGAGCAGACCCTACACTCCACGTAGACTCAGCAGAAAGCCCGCAACATGGATATGAGGCCGATACTTCCGCTTGCTGCAGGCGGACCTTGTCCAGTGCGTAGCTTGCCAGCTTGGAAGTGCACTCAAGCAAAGCCTTAAGCCTTGTAAAATTCAATATGTGTGGGACTGCATAGAGTTTGGTTCGGCGCCTATCAACACCAGGCCGCCAAAATTGGGTGCTAAGTTTGGGTTTAGAGTTTAGTAGTGCAAGGGATGAACCGCTCAGAACCCCAACCCCATCAGAGCGCGTTTATACACATGGTTTAGCATGGTGGGTATGCGAGCCCGAGTAGCTTGGCGGAGCTGTTGGATTAAGACGGCCACGGCCCCAGTTAAATGCAGACGTGCGTCTTTTAGCAACGAGTTAGAGAGAACTCAGGCAGTGTGGCTTTCATGTTCGAAGCAATCAGCAGTTTTTGCTGCGTTTGTCGCTCAAATTGGAGCCTTAACCAGGACAATGGCTTTGCTCACGAATGTTATGGAAAGCTCTGCGTGCAATGCAGAAGAAGGGCTTTTTTTGCAGGGCCGAACATCACTGAAGTGTATTCCATATCCGAACCGAACCCCAAGCTCCATGGCCCAAACCCTGAGAGTTTCCGACGGATCAGCATGCAAGCCGCGCCGAGCATGCAAGCCGCGCCGCGCGTTCAAGCGAAGCTGAGAGATTTATTTCTTAACGGCATCGTTGCCCTAGCGACAGGAAAAAGGTTGCATGCATTGGCACATACTCGCTTCTTCTTCGGGTACATAGGTTACGCTTAGGTAAGCCGGGAAGCCGCTCGCAGTAAGGTTTGGCTCTACGACAAGTACCAGCCTGCCGAGCGCACACCCGCTGTACTCCTCGCCCCAGATGTGACTCGCAGCGTTTAGGGTGTAGGGTGTAGGGTTTAGGGTTCGGGGTGTAGGGTTTAGGGTAGTCTGCAACTAGGCACTTGAGAGAGCCCTGGCGCGAAAGGGTGTAGGGTTTAGGGCTCAGAGCTCAGGGCTTTTGGGCCGGGGCGGAGGAGGTTTTATGGGCACTAGAGTTGCAGGGATTTTGGGGGGCTTCGGGTTTGAAGGGAACTTGGTTGTTCAAAAGCTCCAGGCCTCGAAAAACAACCCCGGCCCCAAGCCCCCTAAACCGTTAACTCGAAACCCGAAACCCTGAAAGACCCAAGCCTGAAGCTTATGCCCTAAGCCCCGACCCCCAAACTCCCCAAACCCCAAACCCCAAACCCTAAACCCCAAACCCTAAACCCCAAACCCCAAACCCTAAACCCTAAACCCTAAACCGTCAAGCCAATTTGAGGTGCTACGCTGCCGGCCAAGTCAGCCAGCGGCTGCCTCTGGCATTGACACGGAGTATCTGCAACCCCTCGGGGTGATGCTAGGCAGGCAGAAAATGGAAGTTAGTGGGGTTTAGGGTTTAGGGTTTAGGGTTTAGGGCAAAATGGAAATTAATGTGGTTTAGGGTGGGATGCTTGGGGATTGGGAGTTTTTTGGGGAGCCAGGATACAAAGGAGACGGCGAGAGGAGCATTAGAATGCGCAGCGATGTGGGTTTCCAATACTTGTCGGACGAATGTTTGAGGCTTCAATTGCCGGCCCCCACCCCCCCCCCCTCCTTGTACGGAAGGCAGCACGGTTACTGAGGCACCCGGGATTGGAGCAGGATTGTAGGCGCGTACAATTTAGTTGCGGTTGGAAGTGTTCAGCACACGACAGGCCCTGAAGCCTCATCTCAATCCTCAGGCCTAAGTCAAACCCTGATCACTTATCTCGAAGCCCCCCCCCGTGAACTGTGACAACCCCTCGAACCCTAGACCCTAAACCCTCCTAAACTCTATACCCTGTAGAAAGCCCAATAAACCCTAAACCTAAGCCCTAAACCCGAACCTTCCGGAAGCTATCCCTCCCAGGAGCCTGGAAGTCTCCATGTCAACACAGGCCCCGGACTCCCTTCAGCTACTATTTGCTTAAGAACCCCAAAAGAATAAGAAATAATAATCCCCATAGTACCCTTAATAAGGAAGAACATGTTTTTCTTATTGTTTCGGGGTTCTTAAGCAATTAGTAGTCAGGTGAAGGGTAGCTTTAGGGATTTAGGAGACTGGGTGTCGCAGCAGGCCAGATGCAAAAGGAGAGTGGGTGTCGGATGCAAAGGGTTAAATGGGTTCAGGGGTCAAAAAGGTTTTGGGTTAAAGAGAGGGCTTTTGGGTGCAAGGTCGAGGGCCAGAAGCTTCGCGTAGATGGGGGGAGGGGGGCAGGCTGTATGCTCCAGGTTCACAAGTGGGAGTACACTTGGGGTCGGCGGTTTGGGGTGCGAGGGGCAGGGGGGACTCGACATCCGGCACGAGGCGAGGCATGAGGGTCACGGCATGAGGCAGCAGGCATGAGACGCGCGAGTATGGAGGAATGCCCTAACGCACGCGTAGGGCGCGGCACATGGAACAGTGCGTAAGACACGTCGTTATGAGACTCAAAAAAAACACTTTGCTTGCCTTGAGCAATTCAGGGTATGTTCAGGGTATGTTCCCCTGGTATGTTGACAAAGAACCTTGACGTTGCGCGCCGCGAGACAGGAGATAAGGGTGTGACGAGATGAAAAGAACCGGACACGCCAGATCCTTCCTGACCCCCTTTGACGCTTTGGAAGGATCCGACAATCCCTCCGTTGAGCAGTTCCTGTAGCAAGGATTGCCGTATACTGGGGTACATCAGGGATAAACCCCCCCCCCCCAGCCCCCCTTTTTTGAGAAATGCCCACTTGGCACGGGGTCGAGGGTCCCAAGCCGACGACAGCTACAATGCGCGACTCGCACTCGGCAAAACCGGAAGCCGACTCACCCAAATCCCCGAATCTGCCACTTGCGCCGTCTGATGCTAGGCTGACCTCAGCCTGGCTAAGAACTCTACCCCCTAAACTGCCCTAAACCCCAAACCCCAAACTTCAAACCCCACACCCCGTTTTTTCCTCCAACTTTCTACCCCGCATTGCTTTGGCCAGACGGGTGGCAAAAAAAACCCAAACCCCAAACCCCAAACCCTAAACCCTAAACCCTAAACCCTTCATCTAGCAACAGGAAGCAGGGCCTCCTCTCCACCAGGTCGACTCTGCCACGGAGCTGACGGTGCTGGCAGAGGATCGCATGGAGCTGTTGGCTTCAGGCCGGGTAACACCGGGCTTGGGAACCCTTTAGGGTTTAGGGTTTAGGGTGTAGGGTTTAGGGTTTAGGGTTGGGGTTTGTCGGGCCTGAGAATCCTAGAGTTTCGGGCTTACGGGGTTTTTGAGGTTCAGGGCTGCAGGACTTGGCTTTTGAGTCCTGAGTTCGGATAGTTAGGGGCAGCTCAACGTGTGCATTTTGGGTCTCTCAGAGGGTTGTAGGGCGCGGTGGCTTCGGATTGTGCGCATTTCGTTTTGGGAGGTTGGGAGGCTTCGAGGTGTGGACATTTGGGTAATATAGGAGTCGGAAGAATTGCTAATAATATTCCCTTATGGTCCCTTTATAAGTATACTGTAATAACCTCCGAAACCCTATTTCTAATCTTCAGGCCCCTACAGTATATTCCGCGTTCGCTATAGAGATCTCCGAGCAGTTGGCCGGCATGTTCGGGGATGGGATTCTAGACGGCAGCGTAGGTTTTGGAGCTTCAGGATCAGAAGTTGGTGAGGGTTCAGGGTGGTTTAGGGTTTAGGGTTTAGGGTTAGGGTTCAGGATTTAGGGTTTAGGGTTTAGGGTTTAGGGTTAGGGTTTAGGGCAAAAGACCTGCGGCTTGGACAAAGCTTAGGCCTTGTAGCTTGTAGCCCCTAAACCCATCCGTTCTGCTCGATTGCCACTTGCTGAGGGGAGACCCCGCCCGCCCCTCCCCCTAACCGCCCAAACTTGTAGCGACACTATACCGCTAGTCAGCCCTTAGACACATTGTTGTTGAAGACATACATACATATACATGTGTTTTTTCTGTATCTTAATGTATTTAACATCTAATTAAGTTTTTTCTCTTCTTTTCTCTCTTGCTAAGAAGGAAGATACAGGATTGGGTAGGTACCCAACCTATAGAGCCCTCAAACATCCTCGGGCGCCTTAAGGCGAGGGACTCTATCCTGGCCCTGCCGTCTTCCCCACCACCTGCCTGGCGGCACGGCTGTTTCGGAGTTGGGAGGTTTCTTTAGGGTTCAGGGTTTGGGGTTTAGGGTTTCGGGTTCAGGGTTCAGGGTTTAGGGTTTAGGGTTTCGGGTTCAGGGTTTAGGGTTTAGGGTTTCGGGTTTAGAGCTTGGTTTTGTTTGTGAGTAGTTTGTAGGATCATGGCCTCGGCGCTTCAGGTGGCGACATGCTCTACCCCTGAAGCCTAATGCGCAGCTGACGCACCTCTATAGGCTTTCAGTCCCTGCTGCTGATTTTCATCCATATGGAGCCGGAGTCCTTAAAGATCAGGGTCTATAGGCATCTTGGGTCTCGGGATTGAAGGCTCGGAATACACGCAGGGCCCGGGATTTCTGCAAGAACTGCGCACCCCGCATGCGCTTCGCGGGGTCGGCTCAGGTGACGGGTGGCTGCACGCTGACACTGCGTGGCGATCGGCTTTGGGCCGAAGCCCCTTGGGCTTGTGCCATTAGGGTTTAGGGTTTAGGGTTTAGGGTTGCTTTTCAATGTCCATTTTCAAGGTTTTATTTCTTTCGGCCCTTCAGCAATTGCTCTGACGCTCCGGCACGCATCGCCCCTGCTCCGTCGTGCTTGGTTTCTGCGCGTTTTGCGTGTTTGTGTGCTTTGTTTATGTATATGTGCGTGTGTGTGTGTGTGGACCGTGTCGAGCACTTGCGAAGTGACTCTTGGAGTTCCAGCCGAGGATCCCATCTACGGTTCCGGCAACCGTTCCGATGCAAAGCCGCTGGGCTTGAGCATCCCAGAGACTCCCTATACCAGAAGCCGCAAGCCCTAACAAATAATCAACGCTGGAGTCTCACACCTGAAAGTGAAATCCCTTATACCGCATGGCCTTGCACACTGAAGTCGCCTTCCTCTCAACTCCCCTCGCCTGTCCTGGACACCTTCCTTCGAGGCATCCCCACCCTTTGAGCCTTTGGATCGCAGGCTCTTTGTGGCTGTCGGCGACCACTTGTTGGAGGCGAGGCGTGGCAAGGACTGTCCACGTAGGGTTTCAGGTCTACAGGGCCTGAGGTCCCTAAACCCTGAACCCTATAAGCCGTGTAGCCCCCCAAAAAGCCGACAGCTTCAGTCGGCATCCGCGCGGACCATGTGGTCCCTTACCTTGGTTAGGATTCTGCAGTATGGGCTCAACCAAAAGAGCAGTTCGCGGGAGCGGACGAACTTGATCTTGAGATCTTGCTGGGTTGCGGGGTCCAAGGCATCCCGCATCTGTTGCCTGCAATGTTCTTGCCATGCCGTGAATCCCCAGGCCAGCCTTACGTATGGCGCGTGGGGCGTGTGTTCAAGAACTGTACGCCAAAACAGGATAGTCAAGCTTGGGCATGCTTGGGCCATGAGCAGATCACAATGATCACAAGTCCAACAGCCATGAGGTTCTTGTCCATGCCTACTAGTAGAGTAGATAACCTTTAACATGTTTGGGGTAGTATAATATGTATAAATTCCCAAAGGTTAACCTTTAGTTCCTCTAGGTTACTGGCCAACTAAGCATTTCCCAGAGGCACTTAGCAGCCACAGGCCCTCCGTCAGTCCCTCAGTGCCTGGAACGGGTTCCCGCAAAGCTTCCTGCACAGCTGAGGTTGAACCTCGTACTTCCAGCAATGTGGGAAACGGGCTTCTGTTTACATCGAAGAACCAGAACATGGTACTAAGTGATCACAATATCCACAACCTCAAGATTCACAAGCTTACTGAAACAGGTACTTAAAAGGGATCTTAATCAGGACCTCGAAGTGGGCTTTACAACATGAAACACACCCGCCTCGAAACCGCAAGCAGTGAAATCTCACGGCCCCGTTCAATTTCGTGACTTTGGGTCTTCGGGATTTCCTGAGATGTCCCTAAACCCTAAACCCCAAACATATGGGAGGACCCCAACTGGGCCACGATTCGACTGCCGCCGACGCCTCTCAGATGATCCTCCTTATCCTTGTTAAGCCATCCAACGGGTTTAGGGATTAGGGTTTGGTCGAGGGTTTAGGGCTTGAATGCTCTGAGTCTGGGTTTAAAAAGGGGTTTAGGGTTCGACCGTACCATAAAGAAGCATGGACCCCATCTATCCCTGAAACCCAAGCGCTTCCGGACCAACTTCCTTCAGAAGCCCTCCTTAAAAAACACTGCGAACACTCACCATTGGGGCAGAATCATTTGTGTCCCTAAACCCCTAAACCCCTAAACCCTGAACCCTGAACCCTGAACCCCTAAACCCTAAACCCTAAACCCTAAACCCTACTCGGCTCAGAGAGTCTAACCAAGGCCTCACATGGCCGTGGTTCCACGTAGCGAGCCTTTGCGTCTCACGAGGAACCTGCAGGCCGGGGGCTTCCTGTTGCACTAAGGGTTTAGGGTTTAGGGTTTAGGGTTCAGGGTTACCTGAAGCACCAGGTAGGCTTCGAGCTGATGTTTCGGGAGCTTGTGGTTGTTTAACACCCCGCTGCTGCACAAAGGTGGAATGAATAGCGCGAGATGAGTTTTCTTCAGGTGTGCCAGGCAGGAACAGATGATGCGTTTCTTGTTGGTCTCGGCCTCTCCCCCCGAAAATGAGCCAGACAACAGCAGCTCAAGCAGCCCCAACCCTTTGGAACATGTCCAGAAGACAGTCAGGCCGACCTAGTGCTCAGAATTGAAGAGTTGCAAAAAAGCACGAAGGGTTTGGGGGGGTCTTATGAGGAGAGCTCGCAGTTTATTCGGTTCCAGCCTCCTACTTCGTCTGCACTTCCAAGGGACGGCAGCCCGGATGCATGCAGCGGCTCACAACAATCCCTGCATGCACTATGTAGACTTTGGGACTTTGGGATGTTCGCCCTTAAACGAAGAGTCCTAAGTAGGGATTATAGTGCCCCCCCTACCAGAATCCCTATTAAGGACTGTTAGTATAAGGGAGGACATCCCAATGTAGAATGCATAACGCGCCATGGAACTATGGGGTCTCACTTGTATCTAGCCGCCAGCCCCAAGCCCTACTAGACGGGTGCGGAAACGAGTACATCCCGCAAGCTGAAAGTGGCATGAATCACCGGGTTTTGTCCGGCTGCTGAGAGCTCCGGCTTTTTTTTTCAGCTGTTGTGGCGGTTTCGGGTTCAGAGGCTGATTTGAACAAAAGAACGTACTTGCCAGGACTACACGCCGCCAATTGTGAACATCGGCTACAATCCGATTCCCCTCGGTACATACTACAGGCCACGCAGCAGCTGTGACTCTGAGGGATCTCGGACCACCTACACTCGCAACCTCCAGCTGGTGGGTGTGTGTGTGTGTGTACTCTCAATCCGACTTCTTGGGCAAAACCGGATCGAGACAGTGCCCCCCCATAAAGAGATTGGCTCGCAACAACCTAAGCCTAAAGCACTCGCTCCTGAAGGCCCTAAGTCTACCCAGAGCCCCAAGCCCTATGAGGCTCTTATTACCAAAACCCCAAACTCAGAGTCAATTCCCTACAGCCTCAAGAAGCCCTTTACTACTTTGTGGCGCTTTGCTGTAACTTTAGATCCTTAGCCTTTTGGGCTTATTGGGCTTCCTAGCAAGGCAGCTAAAGATTTATAATTTTTAGCTACCCTCCTGAGTGCAGCCAAGTCTAAACTCCCCAAACCCAAAGCCACAGGCCGGAACTTCACAACGGCACGCTGCAGTCGTGTCCTCAAGGCCACGCCTGCCCTGGCATTGGCGCCACTCTTCTGCCAGCGCAGCGGTGTTTGGGGGGTTTAGGGTTTAGGGTTTAGGGTTTAGGGTTTAGGGTTTAGGGTTTAGGGTTTAGGGTTTAGGGTTTAGGGTTGGGGGGGGGGGGAGGGGGGTTGTGGGCTAGGGGTTTTGGGCACCAGGCACATACAGGCACTGTGGGTTTTGTGGATTGGCGTGTTTTGGTGGGTGTTAGGCCAGGAACCTGGCAAGCCGTAGTGGAGTTGTGGTTGGGCAGCTGGGCTTCAGGTGCTGTGTGAAAGGTTGGAGAACATATTCAAAACTCCCTGTGGACGATCCAGAACGTCGAGATCTGGACCGTGAAAACAGAACTCAAGTTGCAAAAGTTCTCAAGCTTTTCAAGCCTTCACCAAAGTCAGAAAGAAACACTTCAGGCTAGTTTTCAGCTGGGTGTCTGGAACCTGAGGCCAACCAGTCAGCCCTGGACTATTCCGGAGAGGCACCTGCTGTCCAAATCACCCCTTGCAAGCCCCCAAAGCTCTCAACTCCATATGCCCAAGACAGCATCACACGGTTGTGGCCCACCTTTGGTGCCCTGAGCAAAATGGTGTATATATATATATATATATATTTATTTATTTATTTATTCATTTTTACATACATACATATCCACATACAAATAATGCATACATAAACTGTAGAACAGAAGCTCGACGTGGCCCAATGAGCAATATGCCCATATTTGCACAGGTGTAGACGTGTGCCTTCCCTGCCTCGGGGCTTGTGGGGCTCCGGTTGGGCTGGTGCTTGGAGAGAAGACTCTGGCAAGGGTCTATTTAGGGCTTAGGGCTTAGGGTTTAGGGTTTAGGGTCACCCAAGGGCATCGGAACGGTCCGGACAACACTTGGGGTGGCCAGGATCAAATGCCTGCCGAGGTTCGTGCGAACTGAACGACTCCAAATCTGCATTCACACTGCTAAGCCTTCGACTCAACCAGCTACTGCAGCTATAGAACAACGTAAGATATGATCAACATTGGAGGGGGGACTATCTAGGATGTAGTTCTTGCGTACCGATGCAGGCACCCGTCCGATGCTTGCCTGGCAGCTGGATGAATGCCACCGGCTACTTCGAGTGCGAGACCTGCCCGGAGGGCGTCTACTGCCCCAGGCGCGACCCAGAACAGAACAGTAAAGACGACGGCCTCAGCTGGACAAAACCAAGATCCTGCACAGCATCTTGTTGACTTACAAACCTGAGTGGCTGCGAGCAGAGCCCAGCGCCTCCCGAAATTTAGGGTTGTAAGATCTCTGATTATGTATGTGTGCAAATGCCGCCAGTGAGTCACAGGTACGCGATGATTGAGCCAGAGCACTGTGACACTGGCTACGTTTGCTGCTTGCCTGTCCCGTGGGCTGCTTCTCCTGAATGCTTTTAGAATCGTAGTAGTATTCATAAGAAAGAACAAATAAGCACCTTTACATTAATCAGTTTTAGTCTTTATATACACCATACAGTATTAATACCCCCCAGGGGTCCGAACCGAACCCGCAAACTGCGCGCCTCTCAGGGTTCAGAAGTCTCCAGCAGTCAGCCGCCTTGCGAGAACGGAGAGAGAAAGAGGAGAGGGAGTGAGAGAGCGAGAGAGGGAGAGAGAGAGAAAGAGGGAGGGAGGGAGGGAGAGCGACACTTGGCTCAGCCATCTTCACAACAGGAGTAAGGCACGCACCGTCGGGCGCGCTGGAAAGGGGGTGGGATGGTGGGGGGCGACCCGGCCCAGTCGAGGAGAAGACAGACAGGCACAGACACCGACAGACTTGCGGAAGAATCCTCAATCCTAGAGTAGGGCATCCAACACCCCCACCGCCCCACACCCCCTCCCGCACCCCCTCCGCCCTCCGTCCTCCCCCCACCCCTCCGTCCTCCCCTGGGGCCCTCAGCGACTCAGGTTGGGGAAACACGGGCTTCGACGCGAACCTTGCCTTGTGCCCTGGAGGTCGCGGCCAGAGGGTTTAGGGCTTAGGGGTGTTTGGGGTGTAGATCTTTAGAGTTCTCCGAAATCGGTGTCTCTCTGAAAGGCCTGGATGTTCCAACCCGCGCTGGCAGGTGCATTATGCATCCGGCCTCCCTACGGCAAGACGCCATCCTCAAGTTCCTCGCGGTTCCCCTTTATTCGGCGTTTGAAGGCACGGTGGGCCCTCAACCAAACTCCATCCTCAGCCCTGAACCGAGGCAGTAGCTTAATATATGCCCTTAAATATGTTTAGGCGGGTGACTCGACTCACACCTGGTTGAAGGTGCTGGGGATGTGATGCTCGTAAAGGGGAGGCTCTAAGACTTGGAAGGTAGGCCCGGAACCCCCCCAAATCCCGCACCCACGCCCCGGGCGCGCTCCAAAGAGTCCTAATCCCTGTAAGCCTGGATATGACACTGACACGTCGCATGTCAAATTCCCTGGTTAAGAGAGGGCCTAGGGTTTCGGAGGTTTTGGCACTTGGGACATGAAGTTAGTTTGGAATTTTAAGGGTTTGGTCGAGACGAAGGCGGTGCCCCACGCCCCATGCACTGCTTAAGCAGGCAAAGAGTGCCGAGACTGACGTGGATACCTCGCAACCCGAGGACACACCTGCCGATTGCATGCTACCTGAAACACCTTTCAGCAAAACGATCCATCCCTACCAGACAACGCTGGGAATCCGACCCCCTGTATCAGAAGCCCTAAGCCCCGAGACGCTCAGATCATGCAGCAGATGCCCTAGACCCTAAAGCTAAAAACCCTATAATTCTATATATCTATATATATATATATACACATACATATACATATACATATACATATACATATATATATATATATACATATATATATATATATGTATATTAGACATTTGTTTCTTCAGGAGCCCAGCCAGGAGTTGGCTCTGCCATCAACGTCTGCCCCTTCCCGTCGCCTCCGCATCGCGACGGTCCCGACGACGGTGGAGATCCAAACCTGCCCTGCAGGTCAAGGGGGGTGCAAGTACGGTTTTTTTGTTATGGTTATTGCAGGGTTTATATATTTATTTTATAAGTATCGGGTTTATGTAATTATAGGGTGTATAGTTAGAGCGCTTATAAAGTTTAGGGTTATAACTTGTAGGGTTTGTAGTTATAGGGTTTAGGGTACAGGACAGGAGGGGGGTGGTGTGGTAGGGGAGCCTCGATTTAGGATTCAAGGGTTTGGGTTTGGTGTCATTTTGGCCTCGAGGCCTCGAGGGCGCTTGTTCATGGGGTTTAGAGTCCTGGGCCCCGTGAGCATGGAATCCCTACATCTGCATCGATGGGTTTTGGGTCACACTCCTTTGAGTGCCTTGAAGCGCTAGATCGTCAACTGTTCTGCAGCCTCTGCAAGACCCCCGTTGCTCACCAAGCAAAGAGCAGCAAAACGAGGTGAGGCGAAGCAGTAGAATGAAGCATCCAGCGCGAAACATGCTAATTGCCATGAACCTCGTTTCGCCAGGCATGAAGCACCCAACTCCTCATGCTTGCTCAAATACGTACGCAAGTTCGTCAATATACGAACTCGAATCATGCCCCAATCTTGCGAGGAAATGATCCCCAGCACAAAATCTTGCCAGCCAATCGCAGGCTACTTCTGTCCTCCGGGCTCAATCGCCCAGATGGAGCCTGAAGGCACGTTGTCGTATCTGACTCTTGCCTCAATTAGCTCGTGTGTTGTTACGCTTTGTGGGCTCTTGCGTCCGGCCTGGTGTTGCTTCGAGAACTTTGCATTTAGATGATCTTTGGGTTTAGGGTTTATGGTTTCGAGTTTTAGTTGCACTTGCATTGCATGTTGATTCAAAGCTCGAGGTTTGGGTCATGGAGACTCGTAGTTTACAAAGCCTGTGTCTGTCCCACAAGCAGTGGCTCGGATGATGGTCATGGGCAGTCTTCGTGGATGACCATTGTGCAGGCAGACGGCAGTTCACAGTTTGACAAGAGTGATCACTGACGAGACAAATTTGCGGGGTTTGTGGCTGGGAATGTGAGGCCACAGTGTTCAGTTGAAGAATTGCGTAGTAGAAAGCCTGGCTTTGGCATAGCTATCGACAATCAGACGTCCTGTTCGCGCCCTTCCCTAAGTCCTCAGCTCTTTAGCCTGAGCGTTGTTGGAGCTCCTCAAGGTCACCTATGCAGTGCACCCGTCTGGGCATCGTGTGGCTTGGGGAGCAAGTTCCATCGCCAAGAAGGTCAGAAGGCTTAAAGGGCTTGGACTCGGCTTAGACCCCCTAAAGTTCCAAAGTATGGAATAAAATTAACTGAAAATAATATTGAAATTAATCAATATTATATTAATAATCATAATCATAAATATGTCGTCACTTCGTAGACATCCCTCCTGTTTTGTTTATCAGTGTCTGCTGGGCGGCGTCGATCTGCTGTCTTGTGGACGTCTTTGTCCAGACCTCGGTAGATGCCCCGCATTTTCGCCGCCCGCACCTGCGACATAAAGCGCTCGAGTTTGCTCAGTCCGTTCACCCTAAATAAACCCTACACACCCAGCAAGCCCTACCACAAGCACCACAACCCTCCACACGGCGTAAACCCTAAACCCTGCTAAGCTGCGCGGACTTGTGCAGCTATGCAGGAGCACCCTTAAACCCCAATCCCGAAACCACTCAGCAGGTCTCTGACCATCTCTCTCCCTCTCTCTCTCTCTCTCAACCTTATTGCTTGCATTAGGTCCTCGTCCTTTGTCCATTTAAGAATAGTGTTCGTGATTCGTCCAGCTATGCGCCTACCAACAACAACTCTACACCCTAAACCCTGAACCCTGAACCCTGAACCCTAAACCCTAAACCCTAGCCCTAAACCCTAAACAGAGCCCAGGTGCTCCGAAGGATCCTCTAACCCGATGGCCTCCGACGTGATGGCTGGACCTGGCGAGCAGCCTGGCCTAGTCCGGGGGCGGTTTTTGCTTGCGGTTTAGGGTTTAGGGTTTAATTAGGGTTTAGGGTGTAGGGTTTAGGGTTTAGGGTTTAGGGTTTAGGGATGTTCCCCCTTCTACGAAGAGTCCTGAATGATTCTAGTAGCCCCGAATTAAGGACCGTTACTATCGGGCGGGGGGGGGGGGGGCGAACATCCCACATTGGGGCTCTTCAGATGCTCTGTAGGCCCTGGGGATATTCTTATTCTTCCCCCTATTTGAGTTCAAGAGGATCATATGAGCAAGCGCCAAAACCCCCAGCCATTCAATTATGCCCAAAACCCTGTAAAACGATGGGACCACTTGAAAAGCGACACCCCTAAGTTAATGAACCGTTGGGTGTGCTATAGCCGTGATTTTTCCTAAAGCGACACCTACAAACATCAAGCGTGGATAAATGATGCTAAAACCCTGTAAAACGATGGGAACACTTGAAAAGCGACACCCCTGATGTTGCGTCCATTAGCACCTCGAGCCAGTTTTGGCAGTCGCTCATATATAGACTAGAGAAATAAGAGCTTTACTAGATATTATTAGTATTAGTATTATTATTATCATTATTACTGTTATTATCATCATCATTATTATTGTTACTATAATAATATTCAGGAGTCTGTTTAAGAGGCGGGTATTATTGGCCCAGCCTGGGGTGTAAGGGTGCCAGGGTGTAGAGGGTTGCTAGTTCGGAGGTTCCCCCTTATACTAGCAGTCCTTCATGGGGTTTATCATGTTGGGGTTCTATAAGCCCTACGAAGGACTGTTAGTGTAAGGGGAAACATCCCAAGTTACTAGGGCCAAGGGGTAGGGTTCTTCTTTTCAGAGATTTGGCGCCTTTGGGGGGCTTTGGGGTCCAGGATTCATAGGGTTCATGTGGAGTCGCGGCGCACAGCACCCGAGGTGTTCGGGTTTCGGGATTAGGGCTTTTGATCTTGCTTCCATAGCTTGCACTGGCTTTGCTGTTGACCTCCAAGTACCCTTTATAAGAACCCTCAGGCCCTGATTGAAGTTGGACTTCGGGGTGTTTTCCCTAAGAACTTTAGGGGTTTAGGGTGTAGGGTTTACGGGGAATGGCGGGGGTGGGGGGGGGGGGGAACTGCAAGTTCCGCGTCCAGGTATGTGGCCTTTGACAACAGTGGGGTGTTGCCTTGCCCGGTGGGCATGTCCTGCCCTGGAGGACTTAGGGTTTAGGATGGTTTAATGTTTAGGGCGGACTGGAAGGGGTCCCTTTTTGCGCTACCCTAAATAGTAGGGGCCGTCTTATCATGAGGATCCCAAAAGGGAACATCATTTAGAGAAGCGACCATGTTATTCTTCCGGATCCGGAGCGCATGCCAAGCGCCCATCTGGCAGGAACGTTTTCGATTCCACAGCCGTGCCCACCCGGCCAATATCAAGTCAGCTCTGGTGCAGCTCGGGCGTAGACTTATGTTCTTGTTAGACTTTCTTTGTTTGCCGGGGAGGTTTCGTGACAGGGGCTTTCTGACTATGACTAAGAGTCTCCTCCCGGGGGGTGGGGGGGGAAAAGGGGGGGCGGGGTCATTTGGGGAAGCTTCATTAGGATTCTATCCAAAATGGCACCCGACGAGGGGACCTAAATTCCACAACGTCACCCTTATGCACTTGGGGATGTCAGGGGGCTTCAAACCAGATCATCTGGCATATGGAGTTTAGAGCTGGTGTTTGCTTCAAGAATTAATCATAGTACGATCTCTTACCATAACCTGCATGATCACGACTTTGCGTTTCCGTTGTTGCTGTTGCTGCAACGAAAAATGCTCATGGTTGTGGTTGTTTTTGTTGTGTTCGCTTGAACTGCTGGTATTCCTTCATGGGACGTTCCCGAAATCAAGGGATACAGGACTGGCTGGTTATATTGACAGCCGGGGCCATCGTTACCTTCGCCCACGCAGTGCTGTATGCGTTTTTGGGGAACCCTTATCCCCTGCAAACCCTAAACCCTGAAAAACCCTAATTATCGGGCTCCCTAAACCCTAAACCCTAAACCCTAAACCCTAAACCCTAAACCCTAAAGCCTAAAGCCTAAAGCCTAAACCCTAAACCCTATAAACCCTAAACCCTAAACCCATCTCTGGGCAAACAGGCCCCGGCCTGCTCCACTTGCACTGCCGGCACCATCTGCCCCGGCTTCGGCAGTGCACTGCCGCAGCTGTGTGTCCCGACGACGATTTGTCCGTGGGCAACTTATAGGGTTTAGGGTTTAGGGTTTAGGGTTTAGGGTTTAGGGTTTAGGGTTTAGGGCTGCTTTAGGGTTTCGGGCCTATAGGGGTTCAAGAAGGGGTTATGTAGTTCAGAGGGTTTAGGGTTCTAACAAGTAGTTAGATCGGTTATATAGGCTATGTAGCTGTTGATAAGCTGATAGGGTTTAGGGTGCTCAGGACTTCAGCAAGCAGCGCGAGGTTCAGGTTATGGTTCACGAGCTTCAGGAGCATTTGTACTTCTACCTAACTCAACGGGGGGTATAGCTTTGGGTTTATACTTGGTAGGAACTGCCCGGCCTGGGTAAACTTCAACAATTCTGAACGCCTGCACTCGTGACCGGAATGCCTTCGAGTGAGGGCGCCATTCCCAACACGTCCCCTCGCGTCCGAACCCCGTAATCCCTCAACCCTAAGCTAACGCAATACTGAACCCTGCACAAGCCCCCCCCCCCCCCCCCCGCCACCTACAAAAAAACCCTAAACCCTAAACCCCAATAACTAATCCCTAGACCCTAACCTTCAAGCCTGATGAGGTCCTGCCGGCCGAGTGTGCGCCCATCCCGGCCGACAGATCCCTTCCTACCTGTGTCCAGCAGGAGCTTCCAGTTCGAGCTTCGTTCTTACCCTGAAGTTTTAGGGTTTTGGGGTTCAGGGTTTAGGGCTAGGGTTTAGGGTGTTCTGACCCTGAGCTTTGTGAAGCTCTTAGTAGTAGTAGTAGTAGTAGTAGTAGATAACCTTCAACCTTTTTTGGGTAGTGTAGTCCCTATAAAATTGCCAAAGGTCAACCTTTAGTTCCCCTAGGTTACTGGACAACTAAGAGTTTCGGTTCTTCGGCACAATGCCCCAAACCCAGGGACCTAGAGTTTAGGGTTTAGGGTTTAGGGTTTAGAGTAGAGCCCGGTTCGGACGTCCCTGTCGAATCATGTCGAAGCCGGGATGCCATCGGGCCAATTGGTGGAGCTGCTGAGCTTGCCCCATCGTCATAAATGCTGATTGATAGAAAAAGCCGGCGTCGCGGGCTTGCGAACACAAGCCGGCAGACAACATGGTATTTGTGATACTCTTGTGGACACGCCGCGCTCAGCGCAACGTTTTATATAAGCTGTATCCACATCACAAAGTCGCCTACATTTGCAGAAGGCTTGTCTTCCCTTGGGCAGCGGATCTGTCACCGATCGGATCTAGCGGCTAGCGTGTCAATGGTGCCGGTCTAACACCACCTGAAACGAGATCATTTTCCCGCACCGAACCCTTTCCCAAAGGGTCCTAAGTATCTATATGGGGGACACGTACCCAAACCATAGTAGTAATTCCTATTATAGAAACCCTACTTTCTACGATGTAGGTACTTAGGACCCTTTGGGTTTTGCTGCCAGGATCATATTGCCCGCCCGGCGTCATTACGCTCAACACCCTGGCTGGTCTCGACGACAACGGGCCCAAGATTTGCCCACCTGGCGTGTACTGCAAGCTGGCCCGCATTCAGTAGTCAAATAGTATCCTAAGCACTCACACGTCCAGTTGCCGATTCTAGTGTTGGCGTTGCTGGGGTTTGTTCAGGTATGATTCGGACCTTCTGGGCAGCAGTTCGCAGAATGGGCTTTTCCTAACGGAGCATGCCTGTTTCTCACAAGCCTCGACTCCTCCCCTCTGCAAACAGAGCCCTGAAAGCCACACCTTCAGAGGCATGGCGGGAACATCCACAACCATCGTGGATCCAACGAGCATCTTGGCTATGGTTTTGGGTTTCGGATGGCTCAACTGAGATCTGGAACCGCGATTTTGACTTGAATGTAGCTGCTGTGCTCTTACTCTGCTGGTGCTCAAAGTGGAAAGCTCCCTGCCGGTACCCCTCCGCGTGCCTGCGTGAGGCATGAACACCGCCAAAGAGTGCACGGTGGGGACATACTGCGGAGCAAACACGACCACTGCCGGTGGAACTGACAACTGCCCCCCTCGGTGGCACTTTGGCAGCCCCTAAGCCCTAAGCCCCAAACCCTAAACCCTAAACCCTAGTGTTCGGGGTGCCCTTTACATATTATTACTACATGATTATACAGTTTATAATATGAACATGAGCAGACGTTGGCTTCACAGGGAGGAAGTACACAAGCTGCAAGGCAAGATTGGAGGTTCTGGGGGTTGGGGGCTTTAGCGAGAGCATGCTTTGAAGGCTGGGTTTAGGGTTTAGGGTTTAGGGTTTAGGGTTTAGGGTTTAGGGTTTAGGGTTTAGGGTTTAGGGTAGTGTGGCTTTTAGGGCCAGGGGCCTGCGCCACCCTTCCCTAAACCCTCAGGCAGAGTCGCCAATGGCAACAACCTAAACCCTAAACCCTAAACCCTAAACCCTAACCCCTAACCCCAACCCTTCCCAGGTACTGCCCTGCAGGAGTGAGCACTCCTCAGCCGACACCTCCTGGGCACTACGTGGGCAAGTCGGGACGAGCCCTTTGCCTGTAGGATCCCGTGGTTTAGGGTTTAGGGTTTAGGATCCCGTGGTTTAGGATCTGGCGATTTGGAGTTTGGAGGTTTCCCAGATGCCTGCTGTACAAGAGGGCGTGGGTGAGTCTGACCAGCTCTCTCACATCCATCATGAGGGCCAGCTCGCTAATTGATCACCCGTTTTGGGGCGGGCCCATACTGAGCGCTATAACAGGGCACACAAAGGGACAACGGCATAGAGAACTTGGCATAGAGAACTAGGACTTTGCCACTTCAGGCACAAACAAGCTATGCGATCAGTCACAGCTGTGCAGATTGCAGTAAGCTGAGCTGTTCTGCAGAACTGGTTCTCTCAAGAGGCTTCTGCATCCCCACAGAAGTTTGGCCCCTAAAGTCTAGTGTTTGCTTGACGCGGCTTTCTGGAGCGTAGGCATCAACAAGCTGAAAGGGTGTAGGGTTTAGGGTTTAGGGTTTAGGGTTTAGGGTGCTATCCACGCAAGGTATACCCTTCCAAGTGCCGTCCGGGCACCTATGCGGCCAACTGGCTGATGAAACGTGGCAGCGCAACTCGTGGAAGCGTGAGGGTTTGGCTTAAACCCTAAACCCTAAACCCTAAACCTCCCTAAACCCTAAACCCTAAACCCTAAGTTTAGTTTCAGGTTTGAGAGGCCTTTGCTTAGCATGCAGCTTTTGAGAGACTTTTGGGGCCAAATGGTGCGGGTAGTCACAGTTAATAGTCCCAACTCATTACTGAGACGTCGTACCATTGGGGCTGCATATATATATATATAAGAGAGAGAGAGAGAGGGAGAGAGGGAGAGAGAGCCTACCTCTTTGCTTGTCTTCGTCCTGCAGGTCTCATGTCTTCTTCAAAATATGTAGATTTTTTCCAATTTGGCGTTTTTCATGTAATCTTTAAACAATGTTTTGTGAGACAGTACGTACAGCACTTTGGAGGTCTGGGACTGTGCCGGGTGGGGTGGGGAGGGGCTAGTGTGTCTATATATATATATGTGATAAATGAATAGAGGTGCATTTACATATAATGTGTGTAACCTTTGTTTTCTCGACGCAGAGTTGCCCGGACCCGCCTCTACAAGCCCAAGGTATTAAGCATAACTATGCCCCGAGCGGAGGAAGGATCACGTATATTCTTCCCACGCAGCTGCGCACTTTGGTCCCTCAACCCTAAACCCTAAACCCTAAACCCTAAACCCTAAACCCTCATGAGAAAGCATGCTGAGGATCGCTTGCGATCCCTGCCCGGCGGGTACCGAGTGCCCCCTGGACGGCACGGTGATTCCCACGGCCTCTTGGCTCATTTGGCCTTCTGGACTCTGAAACCCTAATCCCGAAACCCTAAACCCTAAACCCTAAACCTAAACCCTAAACCCTAAACCCAAACCCCTGCTTCACTCGTCCGCCTCTTGGCCGAGGTTTGCCGCCCAGGCTCCTATCGCGAAGCCACTGAGCCCGGAGAGGATCCCACGAAGAACGTCATGTGCGTCTTGGCTTGTTTCCGGTCTGCCCAAAGGGTCCTAAGTACCTATAGGGGGGGGACACTTACCCAAACCACAGTAATTCCTATTATAGAAAACCCTACTTTCTACGATGTAGGTACTTAGGACCCTTTGGGCTGTGGACTGCCGGGCCGGGGGTGTAATGGTCTAGGATGCAAGATCCATCGTGCCCCAACCCTACTTGAGGGTTCATGGTACTTACTAAGGCCCTTTAGGGGAATTATAAGTAGGGTTATAAGTACAGTTAGAATTGGTTAGCAAGTACCATGAACCTCCAAGTAGACCCTGTAAAGCCTGAACCCCAAAACTGACATCTTGGTTTCATTGAAGCAGACTGGTTGATTTTGTGTTTCACTTCCGGGCTCCGATGACGCGGGGCTTCCGGAAAGCCCTCCCCACAGGGCTTGGGTGAATGCCATGTTGCTAGCACTGGCATCAATCCGCTCGTTGAGCCTGCACCATAGGTACCGAGAGTTGAAAAAACTACAGGGCCTCTCTTACCTGATTGGTTGACGCCACCAAGATTTGGAGGCTCGCCAGAATGGTCTGACACATGGACAGCGTGCCAAAGGTCGTATGGTGCGCAGGTGGTACGAGGCGAACTGTGGCACAGTCCTCTTGGGATTTGTTACGGGTGGAGCCGTATGCACCACTGTCTTGAAGGAACTGCGCTCCTGGGAGTTGCACATGTGTGCGCTTCAGGCTGAACAGTGGAAGGCAGCTGAGACCGTGCAGGAATGGGAGCATTCTGAGCACATCGCCAGAGAGGCCTGCTGGGCCTGCATCAGACTCACCAGAGAATGGGTTCCGGGTTTAGGGCATAGGCCATCCGCAATCTCTCGACGGGACTTCTTCGGCAGTCCCAGTTTCAGCACGAACCCTTCTCGGCTTGAGAATCCACCTTGTGGATCAGCCTGACATCAGGCTTGTACCAGTAGTGCCTAATTCCACAGGGGCGTGCCCTTCTTTGGCATGAAACATCTTTAGCGCGGCAGTAAGTTCTGAATGTGGCTGTTTCACGGCCCTCTGGTGAACAGGAAGGGATCCCGTATGGAGCCCGAAGAGCATAGGAACCTGACATCTCTTCCCCCTAGAGCCGAGGCCAACCTTGCCCGCAGGGAACCTGGAGCGAGCAAGGAGGCTGGTCCAGGAACCTCTACCTCTGTTGGGGTTTAGGGTGTAGATATAGACCTTTCAGAGAACCTAACTACCACCCCCCCCCCTCCTCTCGTGTGGAGTGGAACCAGCCTTGCCTGCGGTTTAGGGCCGACATACTACCCACAGAAAGGCTTTAAATTCAGGTCAAGGGTCGCACAGTCTACCCCAGACCCAGACCCGGCAGCCTCATTTTTGGGCCCCGTTTCGGCTTGCTGTAGACTTAGGGCCGGACGTAGCGCTTAGGGGGGTCTTTCCGGACATGAAGTCTTAAACTCTTAAACCCTGCACATGAACCCTAAGCCACCTACCGTCACCTACGCGGAACAGGATAAACAATGCCCTCAGACATCTTCCTCATGCACACCCTAAACCGGTGATTGCGCCCACCCTTTTGCTATTTCGGGAGTAAGGTGTCATGACTGAAGATGTCTGATGTTGCAGAGCCAAGGAGGCTAAGGAGACATCAGCATTCACGGAGCCCGAAGGAGCCCCCAAAACCATCCAAAACAGCCCTGGTGTTGAGGCTTGACCTCGGTGCTGGATTGCAAGAACTGTGACGAAAGGCGGGGGGTATCTAAACCCCAAACCCTGAACCCTGGACTCAGGCCCTGAACCCTGAACCCTGAACCCTGAACCCTAAACATGACAAGAGGTGAATGTCTCAACCTCGGGGTTCTTGGGCTGGACCATCGGGTTTCCAGCTTGTTTTGGGGCGGTTTCGGTTCGGGCTTAGGACGCTTTAGGGACATCATAGGGTTTGGGGTTCAGGAGTAAGGGTAGGGTTTCGGGTTTTGCTTCGGCTTGTGCCTTGCCCTTACAAGGGGAAATATTTGTATATGGGGCCCTGAAGCGAATAGTTGTGGGCCACTTACTGGAGGTGCACGTTACTGGAGGTGCATGTGAATATGAACCACCCTGAGCATAACACGGGCGGGTGGTCTCTCCATCGTAGTGTCTTCCCGTCCTGCGTTTTCGTGTCGCCTGCCATGTTAGGGTGTTTTTTTGGCGGCTCGGGGTTTGACGTTTCGGGTTTCGCAATGTTGAAGCCGAAGCATCCTGAATGAAGCTTCCTGTACTTACCCTCCCAAAAAGGCCAAGCCTGTCAAGCCTAAACCCTAAAACCTAAACCCTCCTGAGGCTCCTTGGACCCTTTTTCGTTTGGGCGGTTTTTAGGGCCAAGTTCGGGGCCTTGAGGGTGTAGTGTTTAGGGGTGGGAGTGGGAGTTCAGGGGGTTTAAGGTGTTAGTGATGAGGCGCATGAGGCGCTACAGAAAAAAGTGGCCGGAGGTACGTGTGTCCCATGGAGGGAACGATTCGCTTCGCCACCATCGACCAGCCTTGCCCTCCAGGACCAGAACCATTGGGGTTCAGGGTCCTTTTTCGAAACCCTAGAAGCCCCAAACCCTGTGTTTCTATGGGGGAAGGGAGTGATGGTTCACAAACCTGGGCCTCTTTAATTCCCATCCTCTCAGGCTGCGCAAGTCATCTGTTTGTTGGGGGGGAGGGCGAGGAATTCTTGAGATCTTTGGGGGTTGCTTCCCAGGGCTCCAGTGTGGCCTGATTCGTCGTCAAAGGTGATGTGAGGCCTGGGATGCATCTCAAGGGCAGCATCATAGCAGGGGTCTGAGAATGAGCCGCCGAACAGTATGACCGGGCAACCGAAGACTTTTGCTGGAGCTTTGGTGGCTACATTACGGAGGTAAGCTGGGAGCGAGAGAGACGCACCCATCATCTAAACTCTTCCGAGGGTTCTGAAATTGCATATCTGACAGCAGTAGTGCCACGTCACGCACAACCTGCGCTTGAAGATGGCAAGCAAAAAGCTGAGAGCCAAGCACTGACACGCTGCAGGAGCGAGTCCAACCGACGTTTGCGCCCCGATTGCATGGACTTCCCTCAACCTCGGGATGCTCCCCCTTATACTAACAGTCCTTAATAGGGAATATATAGTACCCTCGGTATTTATAGTCCTTACTATAGGACTTCTTTAGTATAAGGGGGGGACATCCCAACCTAAGCCCTTAAACCCTATAAGCCCTAACTGGGGGGCTTCCATTCTGATCTCTTGGGGCGAGCTCTTCGAGCCGGAAATGCTGCTGTACTGGGCCAGTGCTTACCTTGCCTTTCCCACCCCCCCCCCCCCCCCCCCAACACAAAAAAAAAAGCATCTAAGAGTCCTTGCCATGGAGAGGAATCCTTACATAAAAGCCCTAAAGCTGAGGGTTTGGGGTCTTAAGGTGTGCAGAACCGACCCTAAGGCTCGAGCGTAGCTACGTTTTGGTTTGTCGTTGTGTTAAGAATTCCTTCGCCCAGCTCCGAAAACGTTCGGTGAAGCAGGGAGTGGGGGATTGTATGGCAATCTGGGTACTCAATCCCCGCACAGACCCCCGTTGAATCGTGCGCATATTTGCTCCCCTACTCCCAGCAAGAAGAAGAGCCCTAAGCCCTAAAACGCTAACCTTTGAGCTGTTGGGAAGAAGCCACCACACTCGATTCCATCTCCTTCCCGATGCTTCGGGTCCCACCTCCCCGTGTCCTAAGTCCCGAGTGCACACATGGGGCATGAAAGGCTTCATGGGCTCTCATCCTGTTTCAGGGCAAGCGTTTAGAGTTTCAGAGTTCCCACCTAAACCCTTTGCGGTTCAGGGTGTCCAGGTTTCTTCGCAGGTTGCCTGTGCATCATCACACTACTACCCCCGCCCCCAACCACTCCCCAAGAAGCGACGAAGCCAATCCACCGCAAAATCCCCGTGAGCTGGAGCCCAAAACCCCTGAACACCCCAACCCTAAACCCTAAACCCTAAACCCTAAACCCCTGTTCCTCACAGGCTACGAAAACTCGCAGGGTTGGGACTGCCCCCAGGCCAGAATCCGAAGTCGGCACGTCCTTGTTTCAAGGGGAGAGAGAGAGAGAGAGGGAGAGAGAGAGAGAGAGAGAAAGAGAGAGAGAGAGAAAAAAAGAGAGGTAGGTTTGTTTGTTTTTGTGTTGGCTTCTTGGGGGCTTCAGGGCTTCCCAAGCTAAGCTTCAGGGTTTTAGGATGCAGAAGGAGTTAAAGGGTGCAGCTTCGAGAAAAATTTGGCTTTATTTGTTGCGAGAGCTTGCCCTTGCCCGAGCAAGTGCCCCCGAGCAAGTATTCTGGAGCCATATAGCGGCTCTGAGGCTTCAACTATTCTATGGTTCTTGCATCTTAAACCTAGAGCCGGTACGTTCTATCATCAGTTGGGTTGGCCATTCAAGCAGAAGCCCTAAACCCTAAACCCTAAGCCCTAAACCCTAAACCCTAAACCCCAAACCCAGGGATGCGCATCCACAGCCGTGTTTGCAGATTGTTCGGAGAGACCTCGGCTTGCTTCCTTTGCACAGTGCGTCGGGTAAATACGCCTGTTGCTGAAACCCAAAGAGCCCCTAAACCCTAAACCCTAAACCCTAAACCCTAAACCCTAAACCCTGTTCAGGGCTATGGCTGTGGACCGGCCACAACGTCGTTCACCCAGCCACTCGGTATTTGCAAAAGCTTTCTTGCATGTGGACTTCAAGCAGCACGTTGAGGGTTTTTGTTTTGGCAGCCTCGGCTTCCACTAGGCTTATGAGCCAGGATCAAAACTATGGTAATCGCGGTTTTATCTAAGTAGGACAGTTGCATGCTGAAGCGTCACAAAAGACCCTGTAAAGCGACGGGGAGCATTGAAAAGCGACGCCCCTTGAAACCCTTGTAAAGCGACGGGGAACACTGAGAAGCGACGCCCCCCACTGCGCGACCTAGGCCCGACCTCTAGAGTCTTGACGGTCGCTCATGTGTACATATATATATATATAATATGTGTGTATATGGATATATGTATATATGTATACATATACAAAGAAGATAACATACCACAACATCGTATGATATAGTGCAGAGATGTTATGGTATGTTCTGTTGCGTGTTATTGTTTTAAAAAGATACGCAATGCGCGGGAACGGGACATTAACCCAATCCCCACACGTCCTGAGCGTTCCTATAGGCCCTTAGCTGTAGATTCTTGAGGGCTCTGAGTTGCATATTCTGTGTCAGTGTGTGTGCACGTGTGTGTTTGTGCTTTCGATGTTCTTCATGGTCCCCCGCCCACTCCTCGTTGCCACGGAGCTGATACCTAAAGAACCTCCTGCCTAATATCATCCATATCCAAACCTTTATCCCCCCTAAACCGCCTCTTGTAGGGCCTCGACCCCTACCGCTCGACCCTCCGCAACGCAGGGGGCCATGGGCCTCAGACCTGGCCGAGCGCCGCACATAAAACTACGGAGATGAAGCGAAAAGAGGGCTTAGGGTAAAGTTGCAAAACAAGTCAAGCCCCCCCCCCCCCCAAAAAAAAAAAAAAAAAAGAAGTAAAATAATACGTAGATAAATAAGAATCAGCTGTCCCAGGTACGACTTCTACTGCGAGGCAGGCTTCTGGTGCAAGGTGCGGACGATCCCGGCGGAGACCCGGAACCTCCTCTGCCCTGCAGGTGCCTGAAGGGTTGAGGGTTCAGGGTTCCCACGATTCCCCTATATCCCCCTTGGGAATTATTTTCTATTTTTGTTTATATGAACCCAAGAGGATATCAAAAATATTGTTTTTATTAAGGTTCCAGGGGGAGTATAGTCCCAAGACTCGAGATTTCAAGCTTCTGGCTTGTTGGCTCAGGGTTTTCGGATGTCTGGGTCCGTTTAGGGCATCATGGTTCAGGGATGTTTAGGGCCTAGGGCTTGCGGATGTTTTGGGTTTAGGTGGCTCTTCTGTCAGGGGGATGATCCGCAAAATCCGCCAAAGGCACAGATCGCCTGCTAGCATCTCCCCTTTAGAACTCATGATGGTAGGCTTTATGTGTGAAGATATTGACTTATTGCGTTCTCTCTGTTCGCTCTCTTCACATTAACTAACCCGTAATGCCAATGAACAAGGAACAAGATGCGATAAATCAGAATGTTGGTTCTGGTTTTTCATCGAGAAACGATAGAAATGAGAAGATGCATGAATTTTATAACTGGGCTTTCGAATAAGCCAAAGAAAAGATGAAACCGATGAGGGGGATTTCATTTGTGACTTTTACTTTCTAGCGCTCTTCAGTACCTTCATGAACAAAATGCAGGATTCCATGTCATTTCACTCACTTCTCTAAACCTTTCATGTGTTAACAGGTTCTTTTCAACTCAGCATCCCATATTCCAGGGTTTAGGATTTTCGAATGGGGTTGCTCTGGGTAAACCCTGGGCCCTAAGCCCTAAGCCCTAAACCAAGCTCCTAGAGCCGAAGGAAGAAATCCCTTCACAGATTTTGAGCTTAAGAGCTCCCGTGATAAGGGCTATGAGGTTTAGGGTTTAGGGTTTAGGGTTTAGGGTTTAGGGTTTAGGGTTTAGGGTTTAGCAAAAAGGGTTTAGGGTTTTAGGGTTTAGGGTTTAGGGTTTAGGGTTTAGGCAACGACTCAAGCCTCTCCCTGCAGGCTACTACTGCAAGCGCGAGACTGGTGAGTCAGGCGGATCAGGCCCGCCTTTCGACAAACCAGGGGGGAGGGGTGGAGGGGCGGGAGAGGGGGTTGGGGGCTAGGTTCAGTGACCCTCGTTAATGGTGCAGGCTTGCGCTGGGCATAGGGTCCTTTCCGAGCCACACGCACGTCGCCTTCTCTCGGGGACCTCTTGCTTGGTGCATCATCCCCTCATAGAGTGGAACCACCAACCCCGCTGAGATTTTGACAATTCCCGTCATTATATGAATCAAACGGAATGGGAACATTTGCTACTGGGTATGATTGAATCGGGGTAGTGGTGGCGGGGCGCTAAAGATGAGGGAGGGGAGTCGTGTTTGAGTCTGTCTGTGTGAGTTGTGGAAGATGCAAACTAGCGAACCTCTTGCTTTACAACAGAGCTTTGTTGGAGGGCAAGTCGGTGAGTGTCAGGACGAAGATCCTTCCGATGCCCTCCCGACTACTTCTGCCCGGAGGCGGCCGTTCTACTCCACGTTGCCCTATGGTTGCTCGGGGGTTGCTTGACGCAGGAGCACCGGCAAAACCTTCAACAGAGATAGCAGTGCCAAAGCTCAGAAAACATGGCGCTTTCACTAATTCTACTGCAAGGAACTTGCCATCAGGGCGGCGAACACAGTTATCCCACACACCTGTCAGACCAGCTCACTTCTATAGCCTACTCGCGAACATGGCGGTTTAGGCAGCTGTTGAGATGGGCCTGGGAGCTGGCAACGGTTTCGCATGGTGCAGATCGTGACCCGCTTGGATCTGCATGCACGGTCCTGAACCCGCAAGTCTCAAAACTCTATTGCCTAGTTTCATTTTAATCCATGCCTCTCGCTTTCCCCCCCCCCCCCCCCCCCCCCCCCACACTTGGCCGACTAGCCCCTCACCCTTCTGCAAGTGAAGTATAGTGATCTACCCCACACCCTTGTCATGCTATTCCCTGCACGACAAACCTGGCATATGCGGTTCGCACATCACACCATCAACATCACGAGCCTGTACAGTTCTCTTCCAAGACCCGAAGGTGGCACGTGCTTCTTTGGAACAGAAAGGGGCTTCCCAAACCCGACACCCCCGCCAGGGCACAGCGGCAGAGGACGTTCGGGTGGACAACCAGCTCGTCGTTGTGCTGCACAACGTGCCTTTGCTCTGAACTTGGGGCTTTGGGCCTCGGGTTCGCGGTTTGGGGTTTAGGGTCGGCACCAGACTGGCCGACTTGGGGGGAGGGGGGAGGGGGGAGTTTAGGGTTTAGGGGATTAGGGCCTCCGCAGTCCAGTCCGGGATGAAGAAGGGATGGGGTTTGGGGTTTGGGGGGAGGTGTGGGGGGCGGGAGCTCACGAGCCGCACAACTCCACTTTTGTGGAGGGGGCCTCGTTGAGTCTGAGTCACCCCATGGTTCCAATGAGCTGCCCTAAACCCTAAAAATCTTCCCGGCAAGGTCTTCGAGTCCATTCAGCGACCCTTACAGGATCGGAAATGGACTGATGGACCCGGCAGCCAGGGCATGAAAGCCGTAAAACCTAAACCCTAAACCGAAGTATTACACTCCCGAGAATTTTACACGCGGAAGCTGGGCGGGTGAAGTGCTGTTTTGTCCTCGCGCCGCCCTCAGAAGTGGGGAAGGGTGCCAGACTTCTGGTCCAGGAGTTTCAGGCAAAAGCCTTTCACAGCTTTAGCTTCCGAGAGGGCGATCGGAGTCACCTCGTGCCTTTTTCCCAGGTGCAGTCCCGGGTGGAGATCGTGACGCAGCCAGACCTGTGCCTCTTCAGCAGCCATCCCGACATGCGCAAGCCCTCACCCCTACACTACACGCAACACCCCTACACCCTTACTCCCAGAAACCCCAGACCTTTGAGCACATGAGCCCTCAAACCCTGTAATGTTTAGTCCATGCAGGACTCGTGGCTCCATGTGCCGCATCTGCAGCGACGAGTTACCTCCAGGAGTCTTCGACTTGACTGCCTGCCACTCTGCCGAAAGGGTTTTCTGTGGTTTCGAGATTCACGGTTCAAGGTTTACAGTTTATATGGACTTAGGGAATGAAAAATAATGCTTGGACTCGTGCCAGGCTCAGGCTTACCATAGCGGTGTGTGCTTTATGGTTTGGTGGTTGCGGACTGGGAGAACCACAGGTATAAACTTCTGTTTGCGGTAGCTGTAAGGAGACACGGTCGCTTCTTGCGCTTTTTGCTGCTGCACAGCCGCTACCGTGATGTTGCAGCGTCCCAGGGTTTGGAGTAGGCCTTAGCAAAAACCCAAGGCCAAAAACCTAGAGCTTCCCTAAGCCCGAAATACCCTAAACCCTGACCCCTTAAGCCCTCCATCGACCCCAGCAAAGCCGCCTGAGCCTGCGTCTTCAGAGGCCGGCCTTGTGGCCAGATTGCTTCTTGGCCTTCAAGGTCAATTTACCGCCCCTCCACAAGTAGGGCTCGCAGGGTTTGTACAGGGTTTACATAGCGCTGTAAAGGGTTTTGGAAGTAGGAAGGTTTTGGGTTCAGGGTCCTTGAGGTGAGTTAGATCTCTGACCGGTGTGTGAGATTTTGCTTTTCGGCCTGCTTGGATAGGGCCTATAAGGCTTAGGGTAGAGTGTTCGCTTCTGTGTGTCAGATTAACCGCGCCTGTACCCCAACTCCATTAGCTGATCGGAGCATCCCATTGGACACTCTACCCTATCAAGTGGTTGTCCACAACAACAGGACCTGCGCCTACGAGTCCAATGTTTACGTAGGGGTTTAGGGGTTTAGGGGTTTAGGGGTTTAGGGGTTTAGGGGGTTTAGGGGTTTAGGGGTTTACGGGTCTAGGGGTTTAGGGGTTTAGGTGGTTTAGGGGTTTAGGGGTTTAGGGGTTTAGGGTTTATAGGGTCTATAGTCTATAGGGTCCAGGGTTTAGCCCGTGACTAGCGACCCAGGTCCCTCTCTCCTACTTTGTCGAGCTGGCCGCGCTCGCGCCCCCAGCGCTGGGTTTGGGCTGTGTGGGTCATGTAATAAGGCATGTGGCTTAGGCTATTTTGGGGGTACTGGTGTTGACACTTCTGTTCCTATTTGAGAAAGCCTTTCGGTTCTTGCCTGAGACTTTTGTTCTTACCTGAGACTGAATACCCACATTGTGGGTTTTATTCGTTTAAGCTTCTGACCGGCAACCCAGTGTTAAGGGTTTGGGTCGGGTCTTGAGTCTCCATGTTTTGTTGTGCGGCTACGTTGTTTTGTGTTTCTTACAGAGTCCTATGTCTTGTTATGTTCTTGATCGGGCAAGCGAAGATCGACAAGGCATGTGCGCCATGGAGCACGCCAAGTCACCTACCACGTAAAGCCAAGGTCCCCCCCCCCCTTCCTTTTGGTTGAAATGGATACGGTTTGGGATGTTCCCCCTTATACTAACAGTCCTCAATAGGGATCATAGTACCCCTATGCTGATCCCTACTCACGACTGTTAGGGGGGGAACATCCCAAGATGTGGTCATTTGTAAAAGCCTTCATGATTTGTTTACCTCCAAGGCGAGGGCTAAGTGCCTTTCAACGCCAACGGGTCCTAGAATGTTTTAGGGTTTATGGTTTAGGGTTCCTTCAAGGGTCCTTCACTCTGAACAAGCAACCACTAAGAACATCCTTAAACATATCACGCCCTCCAGCACCAGGTCAGGGAACAACCGTCGGTTGGCCTACAATGAAACGGAGTGGCCCGCACCTGGCCTTTGTCAGCCAGGTTGCTCGTTGGGTCTTCGAGCTATGAAGAAGGATTCCAGCACACAAGATGTGGATTGCTTGCTTGCTATTATTTGCTTAAGAACCCCAAAAGAATGAAAAACAATAATCCCTATATTGCCCTTTCGGGGTTCTTAAGTAGCTTGTGTTCTTGGGGAGGGGGGGGGAATTTGAGGGGTAAGCTTCGGCGCCTTCCGATTTTCCAGGGGGTGAGTTGGGTTAGCCTGTTTGCGTACTGGAGTTGTTTAGGGCCTTGGGGAGCTTGGGCTCATAATCGGGGCCTCTCTCCTCAGCCGAGCCATATGCTTCAAGAGCTAAAGTAGTTCACCAAGTGGTCATCATGTGTGGCGAAGTTCCGAGATTGGTTGAATGATTACCCGGATTTCATGGGTCGAACTCTATACTTTCTGAAGCACTGCACCCCAAAGCCCCTATGGACCCTTAAATTCCCACACGAGGGGCGCCATGACGAAAATGATGGAGGGTGCGGGGTGAACGCGCACCCTGACCCTAAAATGGCCCCAATTACCACCTAGGTAGGATTAGGAACTTGAAATACTTTATGTTTTTTGTTTTTGATTTTTAGAGGATCATATTTAGGATTTTTTCAGAGGCTTTTCAGACATTGCCATTGGTCCCAGCCCAGGCACAAGAGGGTGAGCATTGGGTGGCCATGCCTGAGAACTACAGCCCCTTCCACGAAAGCATGGATGGTTGGGGAGTTGGGGGTTTCCGAAATTACAGGTACCTGTTTGGGGTCCTTATTTCGAAGGGAATCCTACTTTTCGTGGGTCTATATTAGGGGTCCTGTGTTTTTGTAAATCCCTAGTTGAGTTTTGCTGTGGTTTCCTTGACCTTCACATTGCTGTATGGTCAACTGCGGTCCGCTTTTTGGATATACGAAGATGATACTATATAGGCCTGTTGTACACACGACACCTCCTTGAAGAATTGCCTATGTTTGGAGCTGAAGATGCGGTGCCAAGTCGTAGCCTCGAACGTCTGGAATAATGCCCGCCAGTCGGTCTTGTGCCTGATCTGGACAATCCTTGCAACAACGCACAAGCTTGGAAGCAGATGCTAGCCATGGTTTCCGTTGTTGCATACAACTCCGTGCTTCTTGGGCGTCCGCTAGATGCGCATGATTTGACAGTTTAATCGCCATACCATCAGAAAGAAAGTGTCGGAGACCGCCATTTCAATTTGCCCCTTTCCATGAACCCTATAAACCCTAAACCCTAAACCCTAAACCCATTCCCCGACAGGTCAGCTAAGCGGGTGGCAAAAAAAAACCCATTCTCGGAGTCCTCTTCCACTGGCCAGAACGGGCCGATTTCTTGGTCTTCTAGGATTCTTGGAAAATCGAGGTACCCTTTCTTGGGGGCCTCTTAAAGGGGATTCTACATTCTACAAAGGGGTATCCATTTTTTTGGGAAATACTATTCTATTTGGGGAATAAAACGGGGTACCCCTATTTCGGGAAATGCCGAATGGCTTCGGGAAGGTCATTGTTGCTGTTTTCAAGCTTTGGGAAAGGCACAGTCTTAACTCAGACCTTCTGTCATTCAGATGGCCACTCTCTTCTTTCGAGGCAGCACGAATCGCGGCAAGCAGGCGCAAGCTTCATGTGCCCAGATGATTTTGCCATGGGTTTGGGGGTGGCAGTGCGGTCAATGATCTCTCTTCCACCCTGCACCCAGACATGTGAGTCCCTGGCATGTTTTGCCCTATCCTGGTCCTTGAGCACCGACTGATTTCAACATGACCTCAACACCCCCTGTCACAGGCCCTACTGGTACCAAGTAGGCCTATATGGCAAAGTTGGGGGAGGGGGGGATGGTATAACTACGAAATAACGATATATGCCTACAAGGTCCATGAGCTCGAGTTGGTGAGTTGGGATCCCCTGCAGGGTTTCGGGAAATTGGGAGAGGGTTCATCCTGCCCTGCAGTACTGGGTTCTGCCTCCGGACTTCTCGGAAGAGCCCGTTGCTGCTTGCTTCGCATCTTCCTTGACCTTGTTCCCCTCTCAGCCTTACACCCCCTGGTTCTTCGTAGGGATCGAGGGATTTCGGGCCCTATATGTACCCTTTACAGCATTCTGTAGGGCCCCCATTCCCTCATTCCCGACTAAGAACCAGCCGGTACAGGGCTCAAGGTTTGGGCAGATGTCATGTGAGACGATTGGTGTAGGTACAGTAACCACAGTAGATCACACCCAGGGCATCGCGGGTTCCAGGTGGCCATTAATGAGTGTGTTAAAGCCTAGGACTTCAGCGTGGTAGCAGGGGTGGGGGGGGGGGAGGGGGAGGGGGGCTAAGAGGGGCAGGGTATGATAGGAATGGGCTGGAACATAAGATCCTGACCCCTGGAGACGAGAAGGATCAAGCTCTTGTGTGTGTGCTTCGCCGAGGAATTTGCCGATGTGTTGCCGGAGGAGGCTTGCCCTTAGTGCTGGCTTCCTTTGTTTTAAGTCCCCAGCTTGTGACTAGCTTGATTAATGACTGAACTGCCCAAGCGTGGATTCAGAATCATAATACATGAAGCCTCCGCAAGCAATACTCGCTTCCTGCCGCATGTAGCTATTCCAAAGCCGGGGCCCTTCACATCCCTCAACCTGGTCCAAAGAATCTTGACAGAAACTCGCGGACCCTCCGAAACGCATCGATGCGCGACATGTGTATAAACCCACCTAAACAAAACCTGCAAACCGCTCAGCTTGTCCATACATCTCGGCACGACAGGTCCTCAAGCGTGCTCTCGAGGAAATGGGTCTGGCGGAGCGAATGCGAGACCCAAATTGGCAACTTGTCTTGCTTTCTGGAGAGAGTAGGATCATAGTTCTGGATAATTGAGGCTATCACAGATTGAGGGTTTGGGGCAAACGCGTTTGGGGTGAGAGGCAGCGTGGGCGCTCCCTGTTACAGCTTGGTGTTTGCCAATGGCCTCAGCCACACCATGTATATTTACATATAGCACTGTTAATTTAACATATAGATGTATATGTTCATCTGTATATATATATACTATATATATGTACTATATATACTACATTATGGGATATTTGGTCGGGTGTCGCAAAAACAAACATCGCAAATCTCACCGTTGCCCCCGCAACTTCTGGCTGCCGAATACCCTCGAGTCTGCGACCGGTGCTTGTGCTGTAGGGTTTAGGGTTTAGGGTTTAGGGTTTAGGGTTTAGGGTTTAGGGTTTAGGGTTTAGGGTTTAGGGTTTAGGGTTTAAGGCTTTTAAGCTTAGTAGTAGAGTAGGTAACCTTTAACCTTTTTGGGGTAATCCAATCCCCTTGTAATCCCAAAGGTTCACCTTTAGTTCCCCTAGGTACTGGACAACTACAGTAAGTGTTTCGGGCAGTTCTTGAGTGGCAACAAGGGCAGTTCGGTTCTTGTGGTCTGCAGGGTGGACCCTGCATTCAAGAAGATGGTGTCCGACGCCCTGGAGGACACAGAGGGCGCTTGCTGTTGCTAGTGACAGGCGGTGTTTCTGTGGCAGGTTTTTTGTGGGACACGTGCACACGTCTCCAGTGTCGCACAGGGCCTGCAGCACAGTACGAACAAGACAGCCCCCTTTCCAGGGGTTGCTACCCTAAACCCTAGTGACCCTACTAACCCTACTAACCCTACTAACCCTACTAACCCTAACCCCTAAACCCTAAACCCCCCTACTGGTAGAGACTCCGCAGCTCGGTGTCTCCAAAGCAATGCACAGAATACGCCTTGGGGGGATGGCCTCATGCT